CTAACATTGCCTAGTTTCCTGAAATTTGCTTTTGTATCTTACCATGTTCAGATGAACTATTATGATGAAGGTATTTTAGGAATAGAATTCCAAGGCAGTATACATTGAGAAACTAATACCTTTGAAATATTTGCTAATACACGTCTCATCTCCCACCTTTATCATATCAAAAATTACATGTAAATTAATTTGCATATATCATCTTGTGAAAGATGTTTGCAACATATATATATACTGATCTCGTGATGCTAAATGAAATATAGCTGACAATTAAAAGTCAAATTGGTAATGTAAAATGCAAACATTTCTTTCCCATAGACTCCTGGGTCGATGAAAAATTCATATTCCATCCTTAGGATTATAACAGTGTTATATTAGTTGGCAAATCAAAATAGTTCTGTATGCTTTTAGTGCACAGAAACTCCATTACGTAGAAACTAATATATAATTTATGTGATGCATTTCTTAAAGATATTTGCAAATCTGAAATTTAATTGCTTGCAGCTGTCTTAGTAAGGTTAATACATTAATGCTTAATTGCTATTTTTGTATTGCAGGGCTCAACATTTCTCTTGTGTAGATAAATAATTTCTAAAATTCACTCAAAATCTGTATTTGTTAGCCATGTGTAGTGGGCTTTTGATCTGATCCATTTTACATACTCAGCATCTGCAACAGTTCATGAGCAACAAAATTTCACTTATTTTCTATATTACCAAATATACAGGATGATTGTCAGCTTGTCATCATGAGAAGGAATGGCATTACCGTGGCTGGACAGAGAAGAAGGGTGCAGCTGTAACCGTAGCCTCACATTGTGAGATATATCCGTCTTTATACCTAGCTGTGGATTTAAAGATACAGCCATCTTTATACCTAGGGGTGGAACTATTTCTACTTAGCCTAAGATGAGCCCAACTGAGATTGGCTGACTGCAAAATTTACTTTTCTGTTGAGTGTATATGTGAGGCAGTTTGTTTTCTGCTACATATATATGTGTGTGTATGTGTGTACACGCACTCACGTATGTATGTATGTATGTATGAATGACCAAAATACCCATTAGAGCTTATTTTTAGGGGATGTCTGACTTTGCTGCCATTGCCCGCTCCCTCCCATTGTCTGCTTGCCCACGCCCACAATGGCTTACAGGGCTTACAGGACAGAAGGGAGGTGAGGGCAGTGCTGGCGGAACATACCTTCAGGCGAGGAGGAGAGTGGCACGGACAGGCAGAGGAAGCCGAAGGACCGGGCGGCCCAAGCCTCCCCTGCCACCTCCCTCCGCCTGTCACGCTCTTTCCTTTTGCAAGCAGATGAAGCTTCCAGTCTCCCATCACTTCTCTGTCAGGGCACCCCATAGGCACCCAAACACTTTTTGCCCAGACAGAGAACTGACTTGTGCCATCTGGCTTGTGCCGCCCGGTCCTTCGGCTTCCCCTGCCTTTCCGTGCCGCTCTCCTCCTCATCTGAAGGCACATTCTGCCGGGACTGCCCTCGCCTCACAAGCGTCTGCCCTGGGAAGCCCTGTAAGCCGTTGCGGCTGCAGGCAAGCAGATGGTGGGAGGGAGCTGATGGGTGTCTGGCAGGTGGAGGGAAGTGGCAGGGGAAGCTTGCGCCTCCTGGTCAGGGCGTAAGCCATGGGAGAGTTGGCGGAGGAGAAGGAGGTGGTGGCTGCCATTGGACAGGTGATCTGTGGGGTGAAGCAGTAGTAGCCCCTCTAGCAGCAGACACAGCTGTTGCGCACTCCCCCCTGGCTCTGAAATGGCAGAGGGGGACCGGGTAAGGCAACCGAGCCTCCCCTGCCGATCCTCTGTAGCATGGCAGTCCAGCTCGGGAGGGGAGTGAAAGGGAAGAGGTGGGTGGGCAGCCGGGTCAAACGGGGAGTGGCCTGTCTGCAGGAGCCCTTAGGTAAGCAGGTGCAGGGCATGTGGGGCAACTCCCTCGTGGCAGCGGCACCAGTGTGATGCGCGCTCCCCTGCCCCTGTGGCAGCGAGCAACCAGACTGGGATGGAGTGGGCGGGCTCTTAACTAGGGCTTATTTTGGGGGGTAGGGCTTATATTAGGCGCATGCCAAAAAAAACAGGCGAGGGCTTGTTTTCTGGGTGAGTCTTATTTTCAGGGAAGCATGGTAGTTATACTCATGGAAATGATGAGGGAGAAATCCTGACTTCTTTGGCTAAAAGTTACTGGCCAAGAGACAGATGTCCCCCATAACTTATTTTTGCCCAAGTATTGTCATGAGCTGTTATAAATAGCTTGTGGAGGTTCCATGCAGCCTGTGACTTTGAGTCCCCTGACACTACATGTTCTCAACACTTGTGCAAGTTCACATGGATTCTTGAATGAGTTCTAGAATGTGTTGACCTTTGAGATTAAGCCAGAGTTCAAAACAAATTTCGGCCTTTTCTATTGTTCCCCAAATTTTTCCAGCCAGTATTTGTTTCCCAACTTTTGGGAACTTTTTTCTTTATGAAAAAGCAACAGAAGAGCGGTCTTAGTTTTTTCTGGGAAGAGGCAGCACAATATATTAGCAATCATATACATACATTTCATGAGGGAAAGTTTGCTGCAATATGTATGTTCCATTATTCTTGAAGGTTTTAAAAATAAAACTTGGCAACTCATTTGGAAAAGGTAAAATTATTGGGGGGGGGAAGACAACTTGAAATTGACTGCTTCTCCATTTTTGGTAATTAGTCTGAGGGAAGTTTGCTGTAATATGTATGTTCCATTATTCTTGAAGGTTTTAAAAATAAAACTTGGCAACTCATTTGGAAAAGGTAAAATTATTGGGGGGGGGAAGAGAACTTGAAATTAACTTCAATTCTTGATAATTAGTCTGAGGACTGGACATAGATATTCAGTGAGAGAGAAATATGAAAGTATTTGTTTATTATTTTAGCTCTAGGGAATGTGTTGTGTGTGTGTGTGTAAAATCTTATGTGGCAGTACTATTAGAGCAACCTTAAAGCCTTTGAACTCATTTAATTCCAATGTCTGAGATATTCTTAATTGCCTGTTTAAGATGGGACTTGGAGATGTGTGCTTTACAGGTAGTCCTTAACTTACGATCAAAATTGAGCCCAAAATTTCCATTACTAAGCAAGACAGCTGTTGTGTGAATCACTGCAGTTATTAAGTTAATAATATGGTTGTTAAGTGAATCTGGCTTCTACTTGTCAGAAAGTCACAAAAGGTGATCACATGATCCTAGGACAATGCAAGCATCATAAATTCATGCCAGTTGCCAAGTGCCCGAATTTTGACCACATGAACATGGGATGCTGCAGTGGTTGTAAATGTGAAAAATTGTGATAAGTCACTTTTTTCAGTATTGTTGTAACTTTGAATGGTCATTAAATGAATGGGACTACCTGTAGTAGCAATAAATCCAGGTAAAATCACCAAAGATAATGAAATTGAAATGCCAAATGGCCAAACCATCAAGAGCCATCAGGATGAATTATAAGTATCTGGTCAGTTGGATAATATCAAGCATGGACAAGGTGGATTGAAATCCCAGGAAAGTACATGCAGGACAGTTTAAAATCTACACTACACTAAATTGCAAAGAAATGCGTGTGTGAACGTTCAAACAGGTGTGCATTATGATGGGTTCTAGAAGATGAGCCTTTTCTGCTATAGCATCTATTCTTTGGAACTTCTGGAAATCTCTTAAAATGTATCTTTTTTCAGCAGGTTTAGCAATCTATTGGAACAGGGAGCCTGCAAAGTGATTGTATTATGTGTGAGACTTTCATGCATTGTTCCACGGTCTTATTTATATTTATGTTTAATTATTTTTAAGACTTGTTTTAATTGTTTTGCTGGATGGTTGTATCAATTTGGTAAATAAATGGATAGATGTGTATGGGGGAATAGATGGAAGATAGAGGCCTGGAAACAAAGCGCTCTGCAGTTAAAAAAAAATGGCATGCTTAGTTAATGGGAGGAGACTAATGGGAGTTAAGACTGTGGTCTACAAATCTCTAAAAGACTGTCAGGTACAATTTTAATTTATAGGTTAGAATGAATTATCCGACCATAAAAACTGAAACAGTGGAATATTTTTTTAAACAATGATAAACTACTCCTCTTCCTTCATTTTCTAATGAAGATAAATGGCCACATGCGTGAGGTGATTCCTTAAATTTCTGACTCAGAAGAAGGAATAAAACAATGATCTGTAAGATGTTTTTTAGTTCATACATTTTATGATTCTGTATCTGCAAATTGTATCAAAATAACATTATGCTTTATTTCTAATTAATATTAATGGAATGATTACTGCAGGGGTTTTCAAGCTTTTTGGGTTAGTGAGCACATTAAGAATTTTTAGTTCATATAGGCAAAAATGTATATGATCTGAACAGAAACCATAGACGTCTAACATCATATAATGGTCATTCTCACAAATGATTGCCATGGCAAATAAACCATTACTCAAAACCTCTTTACATGAAGTTAGTAAATGATTGAGGTTATTCCCTGTAATCTCCCAAAATGCTTTTTAATATTTCAGCAAATCTTTTACCTTTTCTAGAGAAATATACACACTTCCAAAGAAAGCACAAACCAAAATTCTTATACCATTTTACTTTCTAAGGATTCTTTTAGAGTTTATGAAATATTTTGAAAAAGAAAGCCATATTACATGCTTTCCAGTTTGCATGATGCTAGCTTTCCATGTGTTTATTTTTAAGTATAACAATACTTTAAAAATGATCGGGTAAAGCATAGTGCATGGGAGACACCAGGGTGTGCGGTTTACTGTCACCACTTTAAGGACCAGAATCTGTAGGATATAGAAGAATTGCATATGTAGTAGACAATTTAATTTAAGGGGTCTTATTAAGGATCCTACTAACACAGAGATAATCTTATTGCAATTTTACAAATTTTACTATTTTTCCCCAAATGCACAATTATGCTTTGCTATTAAAAGAAATCTGTACTTATATTAAAACTAATTTGTCATTATTTCTTCTTTCAATTAACAGATACCTGATTAGTCAAGGAGCATATGTAGGAGCTGTAAACAGTGAAGGAAACACTCCATTAGATATTGCTGAAGAAGAAGCAATGGAAGAATTGCTTCAAAATGAAGTGAATCGACAAGGTAACATAAAAGATTTAATGCATTAACTATGTGTAATGGTTAGAAAATTCCATATTGTAACAAAAATTAATGATAGAAGAAAATTAAGTATAGAACACTAAAAAAATCCATATAGCATTATTCATTCAATTTGTACCAGCACTGATGCTTAGTGGGTTTTCTGTAAACAATTTTTTTTGTCTTTCTCTGTGCATCTCTTTCTCCTTATTTCTTTTCCTTTTCTTCCCAGCGTTGGTTTTTCCCATTTCCATCCTGCCTCTTTCCTCTCCTCTGTTTTTGCTGGGAGCAGGAATAGGAGGCAAAATGGCATGTAGTTATAAACTAGATGGGATAAATTAATTTTTGCAAATGGGATACTCATTTCATAGAAATTAGTTTTATGAAAACTGTCAGTTTTTTCTTTGCCCTAATGATGGTCTTTATTGGAATTTTGTCCATGTCCAATGTGCTCTTATATATATACATACATATACACACATATACATATACCACATCTACATATAACATACATACATGTACAAACACACACAACACATATACATGTAATATACATATACATATATATGCAACTGTATCCCTTGGACATCCTTTTTGGAGGCGAGGAAATCCACAATTATTTTCAGCTGATTTTAACAATGTAGAGGAGCTGTGAGTTACATAGAATTTTTATCTGTATATATTTTGGTGAAGGAGAAGAAGGGAAAGATGTTGCTGAATGTAGGCTTTTTTTCCCTTTGGGATACAACAGTATGTAAGAAAAATACTTTGAAAAACTATATTTATGTTCCGAATAGCAATGTATTTTAAAATTGGAAATTAAAGGATTTTCCCCCCAGCTTGGCTGATAAGATGGGAGCTCAGCCACTGATGTTTATTTTAAAAAAGTGATTGAATTTCAGTCAGTATTGTTTTTAAGATAAAAACACTGAGGAAAAATACACAATATTTCAGATTGGTTGTTGGCATTACAATACATGTTTGTATTGAGTTTAAAATAGGGGTGCTGTATACCACTCTGAGGCTATGTTTAGTATTTGGAGCAGATTTAAAATAAAAACTAAATCGAATGAAGGTGAATATACGTGTCCCAGGATAAGGTTGCAGGATCCAATCTGTGGCTCAGGAATTGGAGAGCTGACACCAAACATAAATGGCGAGTGGCCGCCGCCCCATACCAGGGAGGGCGTCTCTTTGGTGAGGCCCTCACCCCATACCTAGTAGAGAACAGGGAGAAGCAGAGGGTTCTTTACCACCTCTCCAAGAGGTCGAGCCGACGGTTCTTCCCGTACGGCCGCCGCCCCTCCTTTTGGTTGGGATCAGATTCGGCGTCGGGGAACATCTCACGGCCCTTTCTGGCAGCGCCAGACCGCCCTTTGGACCAGTCCGGCTACAGAGACAGACCCAGACAACAGGTCCAAACCAAGCGGCCCTTTCGAGGCAGGGGAGGCCGGCCTTTCTGGAGACAGAAGTGACTCGGGGCTGGTCTTTCCCATAGGTGGCAGACTAACTCACTTTATCCACCAATGGGAGACCACAACCACGGACGCTTGGGTGCTAACCACCATCAGAGACAGCCTGTCTCTGGAGTTCGTGACAAGACCTCCCCGACGTTTCATTTCCTGCCCCCCCGTCAAGGAACCCTGTAAGGAAGCAACTTATGGAGAATGCCATTCAACATCTGTTAAGCATAAGGGCCATAGAGAGGGTGCCCACAGACCACCTAGGGCAGGGCTTCTACTCCATACTGTTTGTTGTTCCAAAGGCCTCGGGGGGGGGTTGGAGGGTGATACTAGACCTCAAGAGACTAAATTCCCACCTCTCGTATCGCAAATTCAAAATGCAGACCCTCCAGTCCATTGTGACCAGCATCCGAAAAGGGGACTTCATGACATTGGTAGATCTTATGGAGGCATACCTCCACATTCCCATACATCTGAGTTACCGACAATTTCTCAGGTTCAGTTATCCAACAACCACTATCAGTACAAGGCTCTACCGTTCGGCCTCTCATCAGCTCCCAGGGTCTTCACCAAGGTCCTAGCGGTACTAGCCGCGCATCTCAGATCAGTACCGATCCGCGTTCAGTGCTACCTGGACGACATTCTAATTCAGTCGTCCTCTACTCTGAACTCCCAAGCGGACTTGGACTTAACCGTAGAGATGCTACAGAACCATGGGTTTCTGGTCAATTTCCAAAAAAGTCACCTGATTCCTTCCAACTGCCTGTTGCACCTGGGCGCGATAACAGACACAAACCTTTGCCAGGTATATCTGTCCCGGGAGCGTCAGGCCAGCATTCAAACCATGGTCCTCAAGGTCTGCAGGGAGTGAGTAGTGTCTCTGGCTGTGCTCTCCCAACTATTGGGAAAAATGATATCTTGCATTGCCATAGTTCCTTGGGCCAGACTACACGCCAGGCGCCTCCAATGGTTCTTGCTCCCATTTCAAAGGATAGGCACCAGCTCTTCCACCCAAAGGGTACGGGTTCCATTCCAGACTCTCAGATCTCTTCAGTGGTGGACCTCTCCAGTGTTAGCCAAAGAGTCTCTATTCAAGGAACCTGTCCGGCTAACTCTGACCACAGACGGCAGTCTGTTTGGCTGGGGAGCACATCTCCAATCTCAGTTGGCTCAGGGCCGGTGGTCCCGGTTGGACCTGAAGCACAACATCAACTGGTTGGAGCTCAGAGCTATTCATGTGGCCCTCCGCCACTTCCGCGACAAGGTGACGGGACACAATGTGTTGATCCTCACGGACAATGTGGCGGCAAAAGCACATGTAAATCGACAAGGCGGCACTCGATCTCGGTCTCTCATGACTGAGGCTCAGTTGTTGGGATCCTGGGCAGAGCAGAATCTCCTCTCCCTGAAGGCTGAACATATTTCGGGAGAGGCGAATCAACAGGCGGACTACCTGAGCCGCTCGACAGTGGACCATTCGGAATGGTGTCTGCATCCAGATCTCTTCAGGGAAATCTCGCAGAGGTTCGGTCAACCTACTCTGGACCTGTTCGCATCTCCGGCAAACTCCCAGCTTCCACGGTTCTTCTCTCGGTTCCCCTCTCCAGGGGTGGAGAGAGCGGACGCTCTTCGCAGCCCATGGCCAGGGGGACTGCTGTATGCCTTTCCCCCTCTCCCTCTGATTCTGGCAGTCATCAGGAAAATTGTGCAGGAGCAGGCAGAGGTGATATTCGTTGCTCCACACTGGCCGAGATGGCCGTGGTTTGCGGACCTTGTGGGCCTCTCCGTAGTTCCTCCGTGGAAGATTCCTCCAGGTCGGATAATTCTCTTACAGGAAGCCGTACAACATCCAGATTCACAGTGGCTCCAGTTAGCCGCCTGGCATCTGAACGCTGGTCCTTAGCACAGGGTTCCTATTCATTAGGGGTGATTTCGATGATTCAAGCCTCCCGGCAGCCGGTGACAAACCATATTTACGATGCCACGTGGATACATTTTTGCCACTGGTGCAAAGGGAATCACTTGGCCCTCTCGGAGGTGACAATTCCACGCCTCTTGGACTATTTGTTGGAGGGCGTGGACAAGGGCTTAGCGCCCAACACTATCCGCAGACAGGTGGCAGCCCTCTCCACGGTATTCACCTGTGACAATTTGGCCCCATTGGCCCAACACCCCAGGGTCAGATCCTTTGTCAAGGGGGTCACAAACAGCAGACTGCCTGTGGTTCATCGGTATCCCACTTGGGAGTTATCACAAGTCCTACAGGCCATCACCGAGTCACCCTTTGATCCCATCAGAACCTGCAACCTACGGTCCTTGTCTCTCAAGGTGGCCTTTTTGGTTGCGATTACATCGGCCAGATGCATCTCGGAGCTGGCAGCTCTTTCTGTCAGGGAGGACTTATGCGTCTTTCACCAAGATAGAGTGGTCCTGCGTCTGGACCCCTCTTTCATTCCCAAAATTAACACCATATTTCACAGGGCACAAGAAATCGTGTTACCGGATTTTTGTCCTAACCTGTCTCATGAATTGGAACGGCAGTGGCATACTCTGGACGTCCGCAGGGCGTTGCGTTATTACATCAAACAGACAACTGCCTTTCGCAGGTCAGAAGCCCTTTTTGTTTTTTTCCAGCCTACCTCTCAGGGTCAGAAGGTCTCTTCTACCATTGGCAGGTGGATCAAGGCCTGTATCGCAGAGGCATATCAGACACGCCCATTGCCGGTTCCAAGTCACCTCACAGCGCATTCCACCCGCAGTGCCGCTACATCTGCCGCATGGGCTACACAAGCGTCCATAGATGATATTTGCAGGGCGGCGACGTGGTCCTCACCTTCCCCCTTTCTGCGGCATTACAACCTCGATAAGTTTGCTTCTGAGGAGGCATCTTTTGGCCGCCGAGTGTTACAGCAGGTTGTGCCTGCGACGGCGGCTCTGGACCAGTCTGTTTCCCACCCATAGGGACTAGGGGGCTTTTGTAAGTCCCATTCGTGGATTCTCCATTCTTACATGCTGGAGAAGGGGCGTTGTCTTACCTGAATGCCTTTTCTCAGCATGAAGAATGGAGAATCCAACCCCCATCCCTTAAATACGCAGTCAGGTCCAGTGTCAGGGATCTGGGAGCCAACATGTCATACGGTCATTAGATTTGCCCTATTCGAAACTGGGGCAGGACCCAGCCGAGTAGGGGTGTGGCAACTTGACTGATTTGGTCTAATTAGGGCTGGAGGACACACTTAACCCATTTGTGGATTCTTCATGCTGAGAAAAGGCATTCAGGTAAGACAACGCCCCTTCTGGTGCCGCTACATGGATGACACATTTGTCATCATCAAGAGAAATGCACTTAAAGACTTCCATACTTTACTGACCTTCATCTTCCCTGACATACAGTTCACAATGGAGGAAGAAACAGCTGGGCAATCACCATTTTTAGATGTATGTGTCAACAGACAAGAGGATGGAAGCCTAGAAACCACAGTTTATCTCAAGGCCACCAACACTCCATGCATTCTGAATTTCAACAGCAACCATCCACTGTAGTACCTAGCAAGCCAAACAGGTGGAGAGCAAGTACCCACGTGAACAAACAGAATGGGCACCCACAGTCATTCATCACAAGATGTTTGCACAACACAGTGAGGAGAGAAAGGAAGAAACAAGGTACAAGACCAATCACATGACACACCCTGCCATTTATCAAAAATATTTTGCAAGTGGGCATCGCACACCACCCAGAAGCTACCATATGAAGACAAACTATGCATTGCAAAGATCGCTTGAAGGTGGGAGATACTTCCAATGTAATCTATCGAATCCCCTGCATGGATTGCCCCTGTGACTATGTAGGACAGACAGGGAGGAAGCTAACCACCAAATTGCAGGAACACAAGCAAGCGGTCAGACAAGGAGACCCAAACTCATTGGTAGCCTCACACTGCAATGAACAAGGACACACATTCAACTTTGCAGCTACCAAGATTGTTGGATGAGCAGGCACAAAAACAGCTAGGGAAATGATTGAAGTCTGGGAAATAGGTCCCTCGTCAGTCAACAGGACTGCTGATTTACCACCAGCCTATCAAGTAGATTAGATTAGATTAGATAACCTTTATTGTCATTTTTTCCTGTGGGCATAATGGCACACATTAAAAATGTGAAATTTAGTTGCTTCTTCTCAAAGTGTACACACACATAACACACATTTAAAACATACTATATACAACATATGTATAAACCTACACCCTTACATATAAGTAACATATAAATATTAATCACTGTCCATCTTGAATACATAACGGAAGGAGGAAGTTTTAGAGTTCACAAAGCTGTGACTGAATCTGGATGTTCTTCTTCGGATACCACGGAGCCACCTCCCAGAAGGTAACAAAAAAACAGGTCGTGAAGAGGATGTGTCATGTCCCAGACAATCTTACAGACCCTGCTCAAGCTACGCTTATGTGCTATGTCCTGGATGGAAGGGAGGGAACTGCCAATGATCTTTTCGGCCATCCTCACCATTCTCTGCACTGCTTTCCTGTGTGAAGCACTGATGCTTCCAAACCAGATTGTGATGCTGTATGACAGGATGCTCTCAATCGTCCCTCTATAGAAAGTGGTAAGGATAGGGAAAGGAAGATATGCTTTTCTCATGCAACGCAGAAAATGCAAGCGCTGCTGTGTCCGCTTCACCAGTGTGTCACTGTTGAGTGACCAAGCTAGCCTACTTGTTAACTGCACACTCAGGAATTTGATGCTGGTAACCATCTCCACAGGTGAATCATTAATGCACAGAGAAGTGTGGCTGTGCCTGCCTTTTCTGAAATCAACAATGATCTCTTCGGTTTTTCCGGTATTTAAAACTAGGCTGTTTTCCTTACCCTCAACCTCCTTGCGGTAAGCACTCTCATTGTTGTCATGAATAAGGCCCATTACTGGTGTATCATCTGTGAACTTCACAATATAGTTGGTGACAAACCTAGCACTATAGTCATGGGTGAACAGAGTGAACTTAGAAGGTGAGGGCAAGACAGCACAAGCAAACAACAGCTAATGACTTAAAAGCCAGCCATCAACACATCTCAATCAACATTTAAAAAGCCACTTACAACAGGCACTATAAATACCACACACAGAATAGCACACACTCTGCAAAAGAAAAGATCCCCGAGGATGGGCTCCAGCCTGAGTGCGAAAGCTTGGAAGACAAAACTTTTGGTCACCTGGTGACTGACCCAGATTAGATCCTGCAAAAATTAAATCTGATCATTTAATTAAAATGTAATATTTTAAAATATTCCTTTCTATCACATTAAAATTTACTTTTTGATAATAACTTACAGAACTCTGTCATGGCCAAACTGAAGATTTTCTGGAAGGAAGAACTGTAATGCTGGGGCTTTAGCTGTGCACTTCTAATCTAAATTACAGCAAAAGAACCATTTCAGCTCTGAAGGCATCGTAGCATATTTGCCAGCAGCATTTAATGTAGAGCCTTCCCAATATCACATTTCCATAATGTCCATCAAAATATAAGTGGGAAAACAAAACAATTATATTTTGAAGATACAACAAATATAAGCATAATTTCATTTGAAGTAATTTAATAAAACATTTCAGTTTGAGAAATCTTGAACTTTAGATTGAGATATTAAAACATGCCAGTTTCACACAAATATAATTTATAGAGTCATTGCTGCTTTTACTAGTGGGTGGGATTTTAGAGCTTTGCTTATTTTTGCTTGTTTAAATACATCTTATATATCAGGGGTGTCAAACTCTCAATGTCACGTAATGTGTCATGCCGTATTGTGACTTTTTTTCCATTGCCGGCAATGGGGTGGATGCGGTTTCGCCATGACGCATCCGGCCCATGGGCCGGCAGTTTGACACCCCTGTTATATATAAATAGAACAATAGTGCTTGAAATAGTGGACAATATTTCAGTCTTTTATAATTTGATATATGAGACAACAATGTTTTGATCTGAGGTAAAAATGACACTATGAATTGTCTATTGCATTTTGACATATTAAAGTGATATTTTAACATCCTGTCAATTAAAACCATTAAGTACCATTGGATACAATCTGAATTAGTTTCTTATTTTAGTCCATTAGTAAGAAAGATTAATCTGTCTACCAAATTGACATACAAATTGCCAAATTGCCATTGGAAAAAGTATTTTCTTTTAATTGTTTTTATTTAGTTCTGAAGCCTAATAAATAAGAAACTTAGCAATATTCAATGGTTTGATTTATTTTTGAAGCTGCAATACCTATTTATGTATATTTTTCTAGCTACCCTTCCTTTATATCCTAAGATTGACTGCTGTTCTATTCTGGCTTTTTAATCTTTATGAGGTAATTAGGTAATTTTAAATGTGATATTTATTACATATTTGTATTTACCTGTAAACATGATAATTAGATGGACATATTGATGCAGATCAAAAAGCTAATTCAATGCTTTATATAGATCCAATGTTTAATAAAAAGAGGTTTAGAAAGAAAATGCCTGTTTGGAAAAAGTGGGTGATATGGGAGGCATAGGCTACTGCTACTAGTTTTTAAACTTTTACCTTCAGAAATAATAAGCTCATGGTGGTTGCCATAGTCACTGAATTAGAGTACATGAAAGGGAAAAGGTGAAGTTTCCAAGTTTTTATGTTAAAAGAAATTAGGATCTTGGAAAACAGATCTATAAGAAACTATTAACTAACATGGAAACTACTGACATTGCAAATCTTATTCTGGATCTTAGACTGTACAAGTATTATTACCTGCATTAATTGCATATTTGACTGGACTATGTGTTAGAAAATTGACCTCAGCTTGTATCTCCAGTCTGTAATTCTGCCTCACCTTGTAATTAAGTATCTTGACCCAGTCCAGCTTGTTGAACAAGATCCTATATTGCATTTTAAAAATGTAATTATCTATATAATACTAGACTTTTTAAGAGAATGATATTTCTGCCAGTACGTGGCATGCAAGTTTTGTCTTCTGCCTCAAACGCAACCGAAATGTTGAGGATAATCACTTCTACAAAATAGAACTGGAGGGGAATTGTCCAATGTCTTTTTTAGAGGTTGATGAATTTCATGCAGTTTAAATAATAAATGTATAAAGGTTTTAAAATGAATATATTTCTGTTCTTTTAGGGGTTGATATTGAGGCAGCTCGGAAAGAAGAAGAGCGTATAATGCTTAGGGATGCTAGACAGTGGCTTAATAGTGGTCGTATAAATGATGTTCGGCATGCAAAATCAGGTGGTACAGCTCTTCATGTAGCTGCTGCTAAAGGGTATACGGAAGTCTTAAAGTAAGTTGAGCTTCTGAATAGGTTTCACATTTATAATTTACTATGAATGCTTAGATTTACATATAGTGTTAAATGCTTTTCTAATCATAATCAGTCAATAATGAAATATTAACTACATATAAAGTCAAAATTATCTATCTATCTATCTATCTATCTATCTATCTATCTATCTATCTATCTATCTATCTATCTATCTATCTATCTATCTATCTATCTAATGTTCTTAATTGTTAGTGCAATATTTTGAAAGTTGGGTATGAGGTATCAGTAGAGTTTGGATACTCTACTAATGCTTCACAAAAGCTTAAAATTATGGACCCAGGAAGGGCAAGACAATATTCAAGTCATATCTATTCTTCCATTTTCCTAGACATTTGTGGAGTTTCCTACTTTGCTTTCACTCTAAATTAAGTGAATCCGCAATGTATGTGATGCAGTTAATTTAAGTGACAACCTACAATTGCGTTGTTTGTGACAAATCTTAGAAGTTCATATTAACTCTCTCAAATTATTCTTTTTGCCACAAATCTTTATAAGATTTTTACTTTCCAGTTTCCGCTTTTGGCATCTATGAAAAAAAGGTGTAAATAAGCTCACAATGGGGAATAAACATTGAAAACAATGCCTACTTACTCTCTTTTTATTCCTTCCTCTCCTCTCCATCTCTCCACTCTTTGAGAGGGCATGCAAGTGATTTCAGTAGGCAGTCTCTCTTATATCTAACTCATTTCCCCCTCCCCTTCTTGCAGAGTGGAGAGATTGGAAAGGGAGAGAATATCAGCTGTTTGTGACTGCCAGTGAATTGCTTTCAATGTGTATTTCCCATTATGTGCCTGTTCACTCTCTTCCTCTCCATTAAATGTAAATATAAACAATAATTCATTCTTGCTAATTATACCAGTGTCCAAGTTAGCATTCTAAACAGTGAGGGAGTGGTTAGGAAGCAAACAAAAGCCAAAGTGTCAACTGATTAGCTTTGTCAGTTTTGAGTTGGCTATCTTAGCACTGCTGGGATTGTGGGGAGGAATGGAGAAAAGGATAGCATAGTTGCAGCCATGTGGTTTTCCACTTAGCAACTACTTCACTTAGCAACAAAACTGCCAGTCCCATTTGCTGTCAGTAAATGAAGCCTATCTGTATTTATAATAATAACAATGTAGGTATGATAATTGTGAAAGTATTAATGGTAATAATGACACAATTCTGAATATACAGTGATTTGCAAATGTTATCCTCCTTGTAGGGTTTCTTGAAACACTTAAAATCTTTTAATTCAACCACATTATCTGTTCTAACTTAATAGGCTATTAATACAAGCTGGGTATGATGTAAATATTAAAGATTATGATGGATGGACACCACTTCATGCAGCTGCTCATTGGGGAAAAGAAGAAGCATGTCGAATACTAGTTGAAAACTTGTGTGACATGGAAACTGTCAATAAAGTGGTAAGGTTTCCATTTGACTTAATTCCCAGTTTCTAACCTAACAAAGATATTCTTTAATGTTAACATTTGAGCTGTATATCTGAGCTACAGTAAGCTGAACCTGTGCTATTTTTAAAAAAAGGTTTTAAAGCAACTTAAAGCTTCTGCAAATATTTTATGGTATTTGCTTTACCACACTTTAAGCTTTCACTTGTGACTTTGCCACAGTCCCAACTAAAATTATATATAAACATTTTTTTTCAGGAATTAGAATTACGATATTTACATATTTTAAATGCATAAAGTATGCTCCCCCATTCTATTGGCTTACAGAAATTTGTTATAATGGCAAGTACAAACTTATAAATATGCTGAGACATTGCAACTAAATAGTACTGTGATAATCTTGGTCGTTCAAATAGCCTCTTTGTCATTGTGTTATTTCAAAGCATCAGAATAGTATTGATATTTAATGTAAGCTTCAAAATGTATATATAAAGGAATATGCATAGGTTTTTTGTTTTTAAATGTTGTTCTAATAATGACTGCAAATTCTCCTATATAATTTAAATTCTGTACATTTCAATTTTATAATGACTAATTTTTGTATGCAATGTATTTTAAACACTAGATACGATTTCAAAAGTTAAGATACTTCTCAGTGTTTTTACATTCTGGGTGTTCAGCATACATGAAGCCCTTGTAGCAGAATGTACTGATTTACCATTGGTAAATTCTCCACTCATGCTTCAGATATACTGTAGTGAATTGGAGCATCTTTTGGAACAGATAGTGGCATTTGGGAGAGGTGATGAAAGTACAGACACAAGAGTGCTTGCAGAACATTATAAGTATCTTACAGTAAGATAAAATTACATATCAACAGTAGTATCCTGCTGGAGTGTCTGCAAAGATCGACTACACCTGCTGAGTGAGAAGTTCCAATTTATATTCATGAGAGAGCAGTGTTCAAGGCTGTGTTTGGTCCAGTAGGTAACTAGGGTTACTTAACTCTGCTCTCCTCTGTATTATTTAATATTTGTCACTTGGAGAGATCACATGTTAATTTGAGGTGAAGTAGCATTAATATGTTGATGTCACTCAGCTGTACATTGCCACCCCAGAATGGACTGATGATGCCATGGATAGCTTAAATTGGTATCTCAAGGCTGTTGGATGGAATAAAATAAATTAAGACTAAATCCCTCCAAAATCAAGTTGTTTTTCTTTGGTAAACATCCAGGAACACTGGCCCTAGAAATTACTTTAGATTGGGTTGCTCTTTCTTTTAAGGAGGTAGTCTGTGGAATAAAAAATAGTTTTCCTCTTCCTTCCACCTTTCTGTGCTACAAGCCATCCTTTTTCATCACATCTAAACCTTTTGTTCTTTAAATTTATCAGTGCTGTCTTTCTTTCACTTCATCATTTTACTATTCAACTTTCATTTCATCATTCCAACAAGCATTCTTGTTCATGTTGCCTCTTAGGAAAACTTCCTATGCTTCGATGGCATTCTATAATATTCTTTTCATCTTGGTCCATGTAGTTTTGACATCTTTTTTTCTTACATCCACATTTCATTCATTCTAGTGGAAGAAATACCGGTGTAGTTTTTCTTCCTGCAGTCATTTTATACTCTCACTATTACTGCTTTCTATTCTTTTCTTGTATGTGTTGCTTCCAAATATGTACTCGTTAAGCTCCCAAATAATAGTCTTCTTAAATTTAGTGTCTTTTATTCTTATATCCTTCACTAATATTATTTCATCATAAACAATACAATCTTGCATATTTTTTATTTGTTCCTTGGCCATCTGTATTCATGTTTAAATCTATATTTAAACCAGGTATTTGAAACAACCATTTTTTACTCACTGGATGCTTCCTATTCTCATTTATTACTGGGTCAAATATTTATTTATGTGGGATTGTTTTAAACTGGCTGTAAGCCGCCCTGAGTCCTCCGGGAGAAGGGCGGGGTATAAATGAAATAAATAAATAAATAAATAGCAATTTAGTTTTACTGTATTCTCTCATCTTATTTCTACTCGTTCATTAATGTCACCTAACATAGATCACCCACAATATATGGGTGGGGTCAGGAAATAACTGTGAGAACACCAGAGGTTGTTCGTTTTTTAACAAATTTATATAGCTGCCCAACTCACACATAGGTGACTCTGGAAGGCTTGCAACATTTAAAAATATACCACATAATAAAAACCCATAAACATTTCTATTCTACCCCCATTGAAGCAACAACACAAGCAAATTGGCCACTTGATCGGCTCCATTTTCATTTGTAGTCCCCAGGACTGCTGATAAAGCCATGTTTTTAGGGCCATTCAAAAAGCAAGAGGATGGGGACCAACCGTATCTCGGGGTGAATGATGTTCCACAGAGAAGGTGCTTTCACCAAGAAGGCCTTTTTCATGGACCTTCCAGATGAGACATATCCTGCTTTCCCATCCTGGTGGGCTGGGAGTATATAATAGGGGAGAAGTTTTGTATTAGGAATGTGTAGATTTAGTTGTCCATATATTGATTTTTTATCTTTTTATAGTTTTTTTTAGAACTTTTAGCTTTTAAAATTACTAACTCTTTGTATTTTACTCTTCCTATGCTGGTCTATGGCCATAATGAAGTTTTGAATTGAGGGGAGAGGCAGTCCTTCAAATAGCCTGCCCAAAGCCATGTAGGGTTTTAAACGTGATAACCAGCACCTTGAACTGTACCTGGAAGCAGATTGGCAACCAGTGTAGCTTCCGCAAAATACATGACACATGCTCAAGTCTAGGCTTGCGCAAAACTGTTTGGACCATGGCATTGTGAGTCAACTTAAGCTTAAGGATATTCTTCAAGGCAGCCCCATGTAGAGTACATTACAATAGTCCAAATAGGAGGTGACCAAGGCATGGGTGCGAAGGGCATCAGGTTGGTCCAGGAATGAGTGTAACTGGTGGACAATGTGAAGTTGTGCAAAGATTCTCCTGGTCATGACTATCACTTGCTCCTCAAGCAGGAATCAGGAGTCCAGGAGAATCCCCAGATTATGCCAATACATTTTTCCTTTGGGGAGGATGGGAAAACTGACAGTATTTCAGAACAAAGCTTTAAGCTGTATCTCTGATTTTAATTTCTTTAGAATGCATTCAGAGCTTTTGTAAGATTTAGTGATCAGAACTACAGTTAAAATGATTGCTAATTTTCACTCTTTTTTTTCAAATCTGTGGGAAGGAGTTTGGCAGATACTTCAAGAAGTAGTTGAGGATACATTGATATCTAGATTTCCTGCTGGCAAATTCTTGTTCTTTGTGGTTATTAGTTTAATTGCACCATAATCTGTTTTTTCCTCTTCTGTAGGGTCAAACAGCATTTGATGTAGCAGATGAAGACATTTTAGGTTATTTAGAAGAGCTTCAAAAGAAACAAAACATGGTAAGCTCTTTTAGTGTGCAAGAACAAAATGTGAACCAATATGAACCTTCCTATTAGAATATATAGAACAAAAAAGGATATCCACGTTCATATTGAGTTTAAATTAAGAGCTGTTCAAATTGAATATTTTAATAGCATGTGCACAGAATGTTTTGCATATACTAACTTAGGTCTTGCTAATATTTTGGGCTTTTTAGCACACTAGTATCTAATCTAAAGGAACAAAACAAAACATGGATTTCTGTATTGTTCTTTTTGAGGCCACATTTACTTCCTACTTCAAGCAGCATCGGAAGGTTTGTATTTATTCCTTGTTCCCAAATGAGAAGCACTGCTTGATCCTTTAGCTTTATAAGATGTTGGGAAGAAGTTTAAACATAGTAGAATTAGTCCATCTTATTTCCAAGGCTTTATTTAGCTGCCATCTAGAGCTTGTGGCCCCATATTATAAGTTGTCATGATTTATCACTGTAAGTAGGAAAGTTTGCCTTCTCCATGCTAAGCTACAACAACATATGATCTGATGGGGATCCATTTCTTTTCAGGGAGTTTGGTATTAACTCTTAAGACTCATTTTCTAATTGCCAACTCTTAGCTATTTTGAAGTTCCAGAGATCCTTATATTACTGCTGCTACCAAATACAGAAACTTCACTTCCATAGCAGTTTCTCTTACAATACTTCCGGATCCTTTCTAAAAGCAGTGCCTAATAAAATAATTCCTTGGTTGTGAGCTAGCTTTATTTTACTTTTTTTCTATTTTATTTATTTTTGTCTTGCCTTTGTATTTATGGAAATCTTTATATGATCTTCAGATATGAGAGATGGGGATGGTTTTAGAACAGTTTGTTTGCTCCAGGTCAGGGTTGCTTTTTATTCTGAAAAATTAGTCTTGGAAGATTAAAGGATTTTATTTTTTGAATTAATAATACTGCAATAGTAGAATTTATATATAATAATTAAAAATCTAATTGACTATTTTAACTTATCTTAAAGCTTCATAGTGAGAAAAAGGAGAAGAAATCACCTTTAATTGAATCAACAACCAACATGGATAATAATCAGTCTCAAAAATCATTTAAAAAGTAAGTAGCTAAACTGAAACTAACATTGGGAGAGGGGCAAAGAAGGATTAAGACTACAAAAGTTTGGACTAGAATATGCTGTGGAACAAACAGTCCACCTTGATATTCAATTTTTTCCCTAAAAGTAATAAATAAATATTTATAATATCAATGTTCCAGTAAAGATACTTTGATCATTGAGCAAGACAAGAATCCATCAAACATTGAGTCTTTAGAACAAGAAAAGGGTGATGAGGAGGAAGAAGGAAAGAAAGATGAATCCAGTTGCTCTAGTGAAGAAGATGAGGAAGAGGATTCAGAATCGGAAGCAGAAACAGGTAATGTGTAAAATACTTTGTTTACTTTTGTATTTACTTTCACTTCATTTTAATTTATTGTTTAACTTTTGTTTCTTGTTTTATGTTTGCTCCTGCCTTAAAATAATATGAATTGATGGGAAGGGACAAGATGGAAGACATTAAATATTTTTAATTTTTTTTAGAGAAAGCTCATACTGCATTGGATTAATTTTTATCTCTTACCATGTTTTAGATGTTCTTAAAACATCTGTACATAATTTTTGAATAGTTCAATTAGCTTCACAAATGACTAATTAGGAACTAGGTAAATGTATGAGAAACAAGGTGCTATATTGCATGAGAGCAAAATGAGTAAGAAACCTTGCAGCAAGAATTGAAAAATCAAGGATTACATGCACATATTATAAAGAGACTTCTGTGGTAGTGGGTTGTATTGATTTCACAAAAACATGAGGGTTGCTAAAGTTAGCTTGTTTAAAATTGCTATCTCCATCACTTAAGGTCAAATATGGTCTGAAAGGTATGTGAGCAATGGTGATGCATGTTGAGATTGTTTTGTTGAAAGTCTGAACAAACGGATGTGGGAAAATATATGCTTCAAAGTGCTCTATTTATGCAAATTACATTGGTCACTTCTTTATTTTGTACACTAATAACTTGATTATTTCTTTTTAATCTTAACGAAGAATCTCAAATTTATACACAAAATACTGGATATGCTATTTTTAAAAAAATACACAAGCAGTTTGCAGTGAATATACTGGAAACTGAGCTTAGAAAATTATTTCTAGTAGTCTAGTAATTAATCTGTAGTTAGAAAATTATAAAAGAGTAATGCATAAATTGGCCTTTGAGATTGCTAAGGTTATGCTTTGGAAAATTAACTTCTGTTGTTTCCGAACAATTTCAGCCTTGTAAACTTCTACAAAATTCATTCTTATTTCCTTCTTTCCTTTCTTTCCTTTGTTATAGGCTTTATGGTTTTGCTATGTAGCATAATATGATTAATTTTAAAATAATGAACCAAAAAAGTATACTTTTAGTTCACTTAACTATAATAATGTAATATTGAAAATCTTGCTGCACTGTACATATATGTCTTCCAATAATGACTTAAAGGTTCAGATTCATCACTTCAGCATTTCTTGAGTTACATGACTTTCATTACTGTGTTTTCTTTGTTCCTACTATGCAATCTTGTGCCAGGAAAATATGACTGTGACACAAGAATTAATTTATGTAAACTTGGAGATTTTAAAATATCAGCAGGACTTTCATCATACTTTATTTGGCATGCTAGAGAACTTAATTTTTCCTGAAGCTGAATATCTATGTTCCAAACTTGTACTTTCATTTTTCTACCCATTATTTATTATAAGGTAGATTCAGAGGTCTACCATAAGTACTAGTACTTGGAAAAAGTTTCTAGAGGATTAGAGACAGAAAGGAATTTCAACTCCATACATCAGCATTTCGTTTTTTAATGAAAAGTACTGGGAGTGTTAATTTTTTTAAATGTGCAGAACATAAAAAGATAATTCCCTAATTGTCCGTTTTTAAATCTCCTCCAATGTAATTCAGTAGCCATTCACTGAGACCAGATTGCACTTCAATTTGTTGAATATTTGTTTAGTTATTAAAATATATTTACTGTTATATATTGACATATTGTATATAATTATATCCCATGTAGTCAATTATTTGTCTGGGTACCTTTGCTAAGAGTTGTAAAACATGCCTTCTTAATTTGGGATTGAAAGCCACATTCCATTTTGCCTGACTCTTACATCAAAGATTGACAATCATGATCTGTGGAGCATAAATTATTTCCCAGTTATGTTTTTGCAGCTCATGAAAACTGAATTCTATTATTGATACTTGATAGCATCTGGAGATTATTAAAAGAAGCATTAAAATGGAAGAAAACAATCCCACTCATCACCATTACCCTAATCTGTTTAGGAACTATTCTTGTGTTTTTAGACTTTTGCACTATTTATTCTTAGATTTGACTTTATCTTGTTTTTATTGTGTAGTGTTTTATCACATTTGTATTATTATCTTAAATGTTTATTTTAAACATCGTTCCGCTACCTAGAACACATTGGTAATTTAGCAGATGAAAATATTAATTAAACAATACTATTTTCCTTGTTGCATCCTGTCATTAATTAGCACCATGAATGATCTAATAATTTGATCATTTAATAGCAAAATATATATTTACTGCTGTGAGAATGTATTGTGGGAAGTACTCCTCATAATCCTCCCCTCCCCTACCCCATCTTGCAAGAAAGATGGAATTTTGTTTGGTGCTTTAAAGTTAAAGTAACTCACTTCATTATTCTGCTTTGCTTATGGTTATGCTTATGCAACATACAAGATCAGTACTATTTATTATTTTTAAAAAATAGATGAGATTTGACTGTGATGCCTCCTATCTTGTACAATGACCATCCCACAGATTTTCTAATTAATATTTTTCTAAAGAATAATATTCCTAGCAACTGAGTCATTCATTTAACTTAAAGAATAGTTATACACTAGAGAAGAGAGGCATAAAGGGATTGGGCATGACTTGTAAAGTGTGGCCACTACAAGTAGTCTGTGGCTTATGACAGCAATGGGAGAGTGGAATTACTATCACTACCAGATGTGGTTGTAAAGTGCAATCTCGTGTGACCATGTTGTTTAGTGGCAGCAATTCCAATAGTCTCAGTTGCCATCATTAAACAAGGTTTATGCATGTTAAATGAGAACCCACATGACCCCAGTTTCCAGATTTCTGCTGGCTTTCCTTTTGACTTTGTGGGAAGCTGGCAGGGAACATCAGAAATAACAATTGTGACCATAACTTACTGTAACTTCGTGATTATAAGATGGACACCAAGCACCCGATTACAGTAATGTGACCGCAGGGATGGCTAGAACTGTGAGGATCCATCATAAGTAATATTTGGTGATAATTTTGCGTGTAGCTATAATAATTAGAAATATTTCTTAACAAACTTAGCTTTTTAGTTTTGGGGTTTAAACTAATGCTTTTTGATTCATATATTTCTCTTTAAGAGAATGGAATAGTTACGTACAGTATAGTACATATTATATAAATTGTGAATGATTTTTTTATAGAAAAGAACAAATCTACAGCTAATAATTCAAGTACCACCAATGTGCAAGCTTCCTCGATTGTTGTAACAACACCATCTGTTCCTACTGGTCAAGTGACACCTACATCCCCTCTTAAAAAGGTAAAAGAGGTTTTATTCAGTTACTAGTGCTAAGATTTAATTGTATGTAATTACATATCTATTTAAAAAGCAAAATTTTAATCGTTATAAAAATTTTCACTAGTGTTTCAATCTAATGATATAAGACACTTTGCCAATCTGTCACCTTGCAAGTGTGTTGGTAGTGCAGCTGCCAGAATTTGCAGGTAGCATAGCTCCTCTGGTTATGAATTCTGGGAGTTTCAATGCCAACACTTCTCACTTCCCCATTGGGAAGGCTTGTGGAAGCCCTTGATTTTCATTGAGAGAAGAAATACCAAATATTGTTGAATCATCACTGTCAAGTAAACAGATCCATAACTCATAGGCCACACATATAGCAGGCCCTGGCTTTTTTCTGACAGGAAGCAGATTTATTGCTTTTCTGTTTCGAAGTAGTAGAAAAGCAGGAGTCTGGAATAAATTGTTGGATGGAAGAGTCTCCATTCTTAGTATTGGTGCTTCTTCACTCTCTTTAGCAACTGGGAAACAATTATCTTCAGAAGAATCACTTAGATGGACAGTGACAATGTCTGTTCCGTGTGCAGCAGCCATAGAGTGACAACGTTTAAATAAATGTGTGCTGTATGTAAAGAATGTGCACATATAAATTCAGGGGAAGTTTTGGTACTTAGCCTATACAGTGGTGCTTGAAAGCTTGTGAACCCTTTTGAATTTTCAATATTTTTCTATAATAATGATCTAAAATGGTTTGTTCTTCACGTACATTCTATAGCCAGGAAAAAGAACTCAATTAAACAAAAGAGTCAAAAGTAATAATACTGAAAATAATATTGAGGAAAATGACAATGCTACATATTTATGAATGGCAAAAGTATGTGAACCATTTCTTTCAGTAACTGATGTGTCTCTTGGGGCAGCAATAATGCAACTAAACTGTTGATCAGTCCTAAAGTCAACTTGGAGGAATTGTAGCTGATTTTTCCTTACAGAACAGCTTTAACTCAGGGATGGTGGTGGGCTTCCTCAAATAAACTGCCTGCTTAAGGTCCTTCCACAACATTTCTATAGGATTACGGTCAGGAGTTTGACTTAGCCATTCCAAAACATTTAACTTTCTTCTGCTTTAACCATTCTTTGGTCATACGACTTCGATATCTTGGATTGTTATCTTGCTCTTGAGCTTCATGGACAGTTATCCTGACATTTTTCTGTAGAATTTGCTGAAACATTTCATAACCCACAGTTCCATCATTGAGAGCAAGTTGTGCTGCCACAGAAGCAAAAATATCTGTCCCAAATTATGATACCGCCACTACCGTGTTTGACACATGGGATATGTTCTTATGCTAAAATGCAGTGGTTTGTCTTTTGCCAAACATAACACTTTTCATTCAAGCTAAGAAGCTTTATTTCGGTCTCATTCTTCCAATAGCCATTTGGCTCATCCATGTAGTCTTTCACAAACTGTAGATAGGCAGCCATATGCTTTTTGGAGAGTAATAACTTTCTCCTTGCAGTCCTACCATGCCCACTATTGTTGTTCAGAATCCTGCTGATAGTGGTCTCATTTTTGCCAATACAAGAGAGGCCATTAGTTCCTTTAAGACCTTATGAAATATTGTGTGCCTTGTTTTTGGTGTGATCTTGGTTGATCAACTATTCCAGGAGAGGGTGACAGTGCTGATGAGTTCTCTCAATTTTTACATAGTCTGCCTGACAGTGGACTGTTGGATTTCAAACTTTTCCAGCATTGAGAGCATTAATAGTTATATTTTGGAGGTCCTGAAATCACCTTTGTTTAAGCATGACACATTTCCACATAGCCGTGTTGTAAAGATCTGACTTTGATTCTAATTTTCCCTATAAACTAACTTATAATCCTAGAGATTCACATACTTTTGCTTTGAACAAATATATAGCTTTTGTATTGTTTGTATGTTGAAGAGCAAGCATTTTTATTACTTGCCAACTGTAAAAAAAAAAACCCTCTATGAAATCTTAAATGCTACAAATTGAGCTGGAAACTGGTGTTTACTGTGCTGTATAGTTGCATTGGCAATAATAAAGAAATATTCTAGAATATTTTTTTAGTTTCCCAGTCCAACATACAATCCTTGGTTTCCTTGATGGTCTTTCATCCAAATACTGGGAAGTTTTCAAGATTAGTTAGATGCTAAGAGTGAAAGATTCTGTGTCAGTTCTCAGTCTGCTCAATTTAGAGATCTGTCAACTTGTTTAATCTGTCAATTTGCCAGTAGGTTTGAGAACACGCTAAAAGAAAAACCCTAAAGAGTAAGAATTCCTGGTAGCCTTTACCAATGCTCTCAGCAAATCTCAATAACTTTCTAGGGATATGGTGTGCATCAGATTTGAAGCTGAAAATATGCATCAGAGCATTTCTTAGTGTGCTTACCACATCTCTTGATGCATCTATAAAGAATATGTGTCTATCTGCACCTGCATGATAACTTTGCAGTCCAAGGAAAAAATATTTTTAAGCTAAGGAAGGGCCAATAGCATGCTCACACCTTTTCTGAAACTTAACACTGTTTGTCACTTTCTTACATCAAACACTTAATTTTCTTGGGAAGCACAGCTATTGTGTATTCCTTAATGAGGTGCTGATACATACATCTTTTAGGTTTAGATTCAGAACATTGTATATCTGTACTTTCCTATATTTTATGTGACTATGGAGAAGCATTAATTATGTCAGCTAATTTATAAAATAGCATTAGGTTTCAACTATTTCCACATCTAGTTGCAATACTAAGGAAACCTTTAACCATACTTCGATAAACTTGATCAAGTAATGGTGATCCTTAGTGAAGAAGAAAATAGAAAAAGAGTACCTCTGAATCAATTTTCTTCTACAACTCTTTTCCTTCTGGCTTTCCTTTATTTCTAAATGATTTTCTCACCCTTCTCTCTCTTCTCTTCCCATCCTCTTCTTTTTTCCTATATGGTTGGGGGGGTCTTCCAGCACTGGAAGTACTAAAGTGAATTCCTCATTCAAAAATATGTCTGGAGTCAAGAGATGTGGAGAAACTTTTCTGAATCCTTACATCAACATTTTAATATATTTTAATTCTGTAATTCAAAAATTCTATTATCATTAAGGATTTTTGATGAAATAAATTTAAGCAAAGTATCTAGTGCATTTTTGTGAAAAATAAATAGGGTAGAAATGCATGTAGCTTTTTAAAGCAAAGACCATTTTTTTCTTCAATCTTTATATCTCTTGTGTGTGTCTTGTCCCAATTGGCTTTAGTATTATTCTCCCTCTCCTCTCATGCCTGTGATGGACTCTGTAGATCCTGCATCATGGAGGCAGGGCTTACATAGAACTGGCATTGTTCTTGTGCCAAGTAAAGGTGAAAAGTCTCTGGTGAGGGCATTGTATGTTTAGCTTCTTTTTCCAGATTACCAAATAACAACTGCTAATTCAAATGTTGGCATTGTAATTGCATGATTTTAAACAGTGTTGTTTTAGCATCATTGCAAGTGTGTATTCATAGTGCAACATTGAAAGCTAACCTTTGAAAAAATAATTAATTAGTTTGAAATTTTAACTTGCTCAGGAAATGATAAGCTTTTCTTTCTTCTCCAGAAATATGACATATGTAGAGAAGCTACCATTGAAAAAAGCTCATAAAGCATAGAATTCTAGAATTAAAATGATTAAAAATTAGAATGTCTTATGTGACCTGTTTATAGACCCAAAGAAAAGCTCAAATTCTTGAGGTTTGACAGAAACAGTTACTGTTTGCATTCATTCTTATTATTTGACCTTATTTTCTCAAGTTAAATAAATATTACAGTTATAAAATAAAGCACCAAACAAATATGGACTACCAGAAATATTGCATTATACAAAGCCACATTCATGGTTTAGTGTTTAGCACCGTTGCAATCCAGACCAATGTATCTTACTGACGAACCATGATACCTCATAATCACAGTTTAGTGCAATGTATGAATCCAGCCAATATTGCAATATTATTGCACATACGAAACCCAGCATCTTCATAGTTATATTTTAAACTTTTTCATTGCTGCTGATTGGCTAGGAAGGAACCCTGCCTTTCATTTTGGAGGGAGGACAAGTCTATTAACAAAGTAATACTTTTGAAGATAATATATTTTTCATTATTGCATTATTTTGGAAGGTATTCCTTGGGTGGGGGTGAGGGATGCTGATCCTGGGTAGCAGCATGTTTTTAAGAGATTTTTTAAAGGAGGCTTGCTAGAATTAGTTTCCAAATAATATATATGGAAACAAACTTTATGTAATTTTGAACCAGGCTTCACATAGTTGCTCTATATAACTCTCTGATGAGGTCATCTGTAATGTTTATTTTTGCACCTTTGAGATTTTATAAAGATAAGTGGAAGAATGCAAAGATTAATTGCCACATTCCTTAAATATAGCATGTATGTTGTGTAAATGCATTTTGAATAAGGTAAGAGTTCTAACCTTCACAAACCCCACAAAACTAAAAGCAGAGTTGCTTGCCTGAACATCTGTTCTCTAAGTGTTCATTGTGTGATTGTGTGATACCTTCATCCTGTAACACAGAAACTTACGTTGTAGCCAATATTCTTTGTTTTGGTATTGAAGATGGTTGCAATGTAATTCAGAAGAATGATGCCATTTCCCTGATTTATGTACACTTGTCAGTGAACAGAGCAGAAAACCTGTTATTGTTGCTGAGATTCTAGAATTTCTTGTATTCTGGTCTATGTAGGTCCTTTCTTAAATGTTTGCACGGTGGATGCTTGAAAGCAAGATTATAACAAAGCAACTCTATGTTTTGCAGTTTCCAACTTCAGCTAAGATTTCTCCCAAAGAAGAAGAACGAAAAGATGAGTCTCCTGCTTCTTGGAGATTGGGTCTTCGAAAGACAGGCAGTTATGGGGCTCTGGCAGAAATTACAGCTAGCAAAGAAACTCAGAAAGAAAAAGATTCAACAGGTGTTATGCGTTCAGCTTCAAGCCCTAGATTATCATCTTCATTAGATAACAAAGACAAGGTAACTCCTCCAAAATGTGCCACGTAATTAAGTTATTGTTAATTAAGTTACTCTTGGTAGTGATTTCAGACCAAAGCAGTACATGTTTAAATGACAACCAGACTATGAAAATGCAAACCAGATTTTTATGTCCATAATTTATGGGTTAAGGTCTTTACCTGCATGAATGGAAAAGTATGTTTGACATATAAAATCTCAGTGAGGAGAGGATGTCAGGTGTATTTCTGTGTATTTTTCTTTGATTCTTGTTTACTATATACAAACTAGTGTCTTGCAGAAAGATAATGGCATCTCGTTCATCTCTCCCCCAGATATCTTATTAATATGCATACAAAGTTTTTACTGCTTTCTTTCAGTGTAGTAAAAGTCTTGTTCAGCAGTTTGATGGTGCAGCGTATATCTACTACCCTAATGCTTTGTGGAGAGAAAGTAATTCTGTGCAATTATCTTGTTATTGCCCTTTCTATATTTTAATTCAGGTTTAGCAACTAATCAGCTTTCTAGATTTTAGTTTTGTAAGTATTTTAAAGTATAAATCAGAAGGAGTCTGGTAGTATCTTTTCCGATTAACAAATTTTATGAAAAGGCGTAAGCTCTTCTAAACTACAGCTCACTTACTGCCTGGAATAGCTAAATTGATGTAGCATTTAAATTAGGATGGGGGTAGGGGAAAAGAAACAGAAGACTAGTTACGCAGATGCAGATTACAAGTATCTTATCAATTGTTGTAATTTGTTTAAAATTCATTGCGTTTATTGAGATCTTCTGAGTTAGTCATATAAACTTGATAGACAAGACAGACACACATGCACACACAGTCTGGAGGTTTTTGAAGTATGTGAGTTTAGCAGTTTCACACTCATTTGTGCTGATTAAGTTTCTTTCTTCCAAAATAGCTTCTTTGAAGATCTGTAATGGAGTGTCCTGGAAGGCTGAAATACTTTGATATCATTTTGTCCTTATTCTGGGACCTGATGTCAAATTTGGGTACATTAATTCTGTTGTGCAAAGTCTGACTTGATTATCCAATTTAGAAACATGGTTTGCTGATGATGATACTTTAGGGGAAGAACATGAGATACACAGTCCTTAGATTAATTTCATGAAGCCCTTAGCTTACTCTTCTGTAAATTTGATTGGAGGAAATTGTAAATTTAATATGGAATATATCAAGAATGAATATACTTATTGCTCTGAGGAAATTGGTTCTTTAAAAAATGAAACTTTAAATTGTGTTAAACTGAAATATTATTTTAAAATAATTATTTCAGGAGAAAGATACAAAAACAACCAGGCTTGCTTATGTGGCACCTACAATACCAAGACGGCTGGCCAGTACATCAGATATTGAAGAGAAAGAAAATAGGGATTCTTCAGCTAGTATAATACGTGGTAGTGGTTCTTATACTAGAAGAAAATGGGAAGAAGATGCAAAGAAAAATATCTCAAATGAAGGAACCACATCACTAAATTCAAGCTATCAGAAAAGGTAAATAAATAACACTTTACAATATGAGGTATTTTCCAGAATTATTAGCAAAAAGCAAGCATGTAAAAGAATATCAACATTTTAAGTGCTTGATTTTGAGTATAATTTATTCAAAAAGTAATTTAAAGAACAGCATCATTTAAATGTTTCAATATATTTCAGTACACAGTTGAATAATATATTTAGTATATATAATATATACTGAATATATAAAAAATAGTTTTGCATAAATGAAAAATAACAATTACTTCATTACTACAGTGATTTCTGTACTTGTTTGATGGGAAAATTGATTTTGGTCATCCCCCATCTTTTGGTATGAGCATATTCACATGTGAGATGTTGCATGGGGGGATATTATTCTCTAAGACAGGGGTCCCCAATCCCGGTCAGTGGACCGATACCGGGCCATGGCATGCCAGCAACCGGGCCGCACAAACAAGCAAAGCCCCATCCGTGGGATGCAGGCAGCACACAAAACCACACACTCTCCAGTCCATGGAAAAAATCTTTCTCCACAGAACCGGTCCCTGGTGCCCAAAAGGTTGGGGACCTCTGCTCTAAGATGTTTCTCTGGGGGTTTGTAATTTTTTTTCTACCTGCTTTTCTTTTGTCAGTAATCATGTTAAATTTAGAGTTTTCTTTCTTTTGATATTAATAACTAAACACACTTTATGTAATTCACTGGGGTTTTTTTAATAATTTTCCATAATGTAATGAACTAAATAAATGTAAAAATATTGTCTTTCCTGTTACTGGAAGCAACAATAGAAATAGGATTGCCTTTCACTGATATGAATGTTTTAGGTAGTTATGAGTTCTTCACTAGTGAGTTTGCTTTATAATTTGTATGATTTTATAACTAGTAAAATATGCATTTTAATGGATTTCATTTGCTTGCTTTTACAAGCAGAGTTGTAATTAAAGTTATTATTAAATATATAAAATAATATTAATAATTATAACATTGCCATTTGATAAATATGCCATAATATTACATGGATATATGCAATCATGTTGTTTTACTGAGTTAATGCTGTGTAATCATATCTAGAAGAGGGGGGAAATAGTAGTCATGTATTATAATTATCCTTTTTTTCCTTATCTTTTAGTGGATTTAATTGGAATTTGGTTAAAACATCATCAGTATAAAAATATTTCAATTTTTTTTGTTTGGTAGCAGTTCCTTTGGTAGAAGACAAGATGACTTGATTAATACTAGTGTTCCAAATACTACATCTATATCAACTGTTACCTCTCTCACTGGTCTTCAGAAAAATCTGCTTTCTAGTACAACCACTGCTGCAAAAGCCACAACAGGTTCAGCAACATCAGTCCTGCAAAGCAGGTGAGATTAATGTGAGCTTTTGTGCATAAGGTACTGGGCCTGTAGTTTTTGTGCTGATTTTGTGCCTACAGGTGGATTAAAAGCACTTGAGACCAGAGTAATACCACATGTGAACTTAAATTAGTTTTCAACTCAAATTATAGTAGTGGTCTGATTCTAAGATAAATTCCTTTTTTCTTGCTGTAATTCACATATTTGTACCTTAAGATATGGATTTAATACACTGATTTCTGTGGGTTTTGAACATTCCTGGAGATATTGATCTCCAGAATGATTTCTGACAGTTTCCACCTTACTCTATCCAAGAGAGACCAGAAAAAAGCTTTTAGATTGACCCATTGTAATTCCCATATCTGCCTTTTTGGAGGGCAATATTCCCTAAAAAACTGTCTTTGTGTATGTATTTAATTAATCCATGTATATTGCCTCCCATCTCATATCTTTGACTCTGGGTAGCTTACAATTTAAAAAAAAAAACAAAACCACACCAAAACAACAGTAACTATAATTTAAGAGCCATAAAATATTTTTAAAAGGCCAGCCAACAAAATCCATAGCAGGGGTGTTCTCATATCCATCAAAAATAGTCAATAAGGCTACTGCACAGGCTCTGCCCCACTTCTAACTCCTCACCTCTGTTTTCAGGGCTTTATGATAAGTCAGCAGGGTCGAAACCATTCTGATTTCTGGGGTGGGGGTAGGGGTGATGGTGTTCCAAAGAGCAGGAGCCATGATAGAAAAGGTGCTTTTTCAAATGGCATTCCTTGGTCAATGGAACTCAGAGCATGCCTTTCTTGCAGGATCTGATAGGACAGGCAGGTCAATTTCATACTGAAACCGCGCCCACCCCATTGCCAGCAATGGGGAAAAAGTCGCGATACGTCGCACAATGTGACGTGAGTTTGACATGCCTGTGATAGGATGAATAAATGTAATTTGAAGGAGGTCCTTGTGTCTATGTGCACGTGATTAGGGAGAAATCAAAACCATGGGTTATATACTGCTGTTATGCCCCTTTCATAGTGTTATTTGGGACGTGTGTGTGTATCCAATTAGGATATAATATTTAGATATGATTGAGAATAACTAATATTTATTTACTGATCAAGAAGTGGAAATGTCAGGTAGTTTATCTGGGTTCTTTGCACTGAACATGATAGAATATAAACATAGCTTCAACTGGAGTATTTATTTAATTATTAAATTTTTATGATACCATTTTGCTATCCAAAGCAACTCTGGGCATCTTACAGTGTAATAAAAATAAAAATATAAAACAATTATAAATTTAAGAACAATTAAAATTACAAGGATTACAAGGATTAAGACTAAAAATTATAGACTCAAGCAGTGTGAAGGGTATTGTTATTACACCAACCACCTCCAGCCTAAGGCATCTCCAACTGGCAGAATATTACTGTATGTTAATATAATTTGACATTTCTTTCAGTGTATTATAGCCATATTATGTTTAAATTTCAGTGCATCATTTTGTCATTTTTCATATGAGCCATGGCTCAAAATCCAAATAACATTCACATAAAAAGAATAGCTATGCATACTAATAAACAGTACTTGAGAAATAAAGTGAAAAGATAGTCCAATAAAATTCACTTGGAATGTTTGAATATTTTTTTTTAAAAGCATTCTTTGTATCACACTCTTTTAGTGAACTGCTGTTATTTCTGAGCCATTTTTTCTTTTCTTTTGTTGTTTTTGCTGGGATCCTGTAGTACCTCGAATCGTTTGTGGGCTGACGATAGTTCTGAGAAAGACAAAGACAATGTTTCCACAGCACTGACTGTTCCTGTTGCACCCTCAGTTCTGAATACTGGGGTTACTACTACTGCCTTGACTACAACTACTACTGGTACTGTGTCATCTTCAGAAGTCAGGGAGAGACGCAGGTGTGTAAACATAACAATATTACTTTTATTGTATAGATAGATATTAGTATGCTTCTTGCTAAATGTACATTCAAACCACTGTGAAGTTATACTGTACTTTTCTAAAATAAGGTATAGGTTATGTGTACTTTCTTTTTTTTGCAATATATTTTATTGATTTTTTAAACATAAATCACTTAATAATTGGTGAACAGTGTGTTGTCTGGGTTTACATTTGTAAAACAATCACTAACAATTGATTTCTATAATCCATAATCCACATAATGGTTTTAGTTGATTTCCTCTTTTCCCCAAAATGTCCTCTTTTGCAAACATTGAGTTAATACAATTCTTATTGTTTTGATAGATATCAATTAAATATATAACTTTTTCCCAATATTCCTAAAAATAATAATCACATCAATATAATATTTCTTTTCTATCCAATCATTCTGGTTGCCTCATCATAGATCCTGTTACAATCCTTATTTAAATTTGTTTCTCCCACAAAATTCAAAGTATTCTTACTGGTTAAGATTTTCTCAAAAATTAATTACATTTTAAAATTTAAGTCTATTTTTTCCATATGAACCATCTCAGCAATTTTACATTTCTTAAGGAATAGATAAAACAGTAAAAAAGAAAGGAAAGCAAGAGTAAAGAAACAAAAAATAACATACTACTTAAAATATATGTCCCTCCTAAGCTAATATATATTGGTTTCCAAGATTTCTTATTTTTTTAACCATAATTAAAAATATGTTTAATCTTTAAATATTCCATTTAATACATCTAGTCATCTAGTTTTTTTAACTCTTATTCAGAACATTTTTTCTTTTTTTATCCATTATAATTTTCTTAAATTCAATCATATTTAAATATCTAAAATATTTCCTTTATCTAAGCCATTTCAACTTTTTTATATTACTCATATCAAAAAATAGAATAAAAAAAGGGGGGGGAAGCATACTATATTATTTAAGGGATTCATCCCTCTTATAATGATATATATATATATTCCAAATATTTTCTATTTCTTTAACCAAATTCAAACAAATGTTTCCTTTTTAAGTATTCTCTCTGGTAGGTCCCATCATCTATTTTCTTGATTTCCACTTTAGTCTTTTTCCTTTGCCCAGTATCTTTCTTGATCAATGTATTTTGCTGAGTCAAAAGGTCTTTCCATATGTTCATAAATCTTACTGTAGATATAAAAAGTAAATCAGGTGAAATGTCTTTGTACGGGGCTTTTGCCTTTCCATGTTTGTTGAAAATCTTTTTCTTTTTCATTCTCTCCACTTGTCTTATCCTTTCCTTTCTCTCCGATGTTTCTGACATCTCTACAGTCCATTTTATCCAATCTGTTTTCTTGTCTTCGGATTAATTTTGTAGTCTTAAGGGATAAGTTGTTTTTTCCATTTCTTGTGAATTTTTTTCCACTAGGATTAAATCATGTTTCCTTGTTTTGTTAAGTTCCATCTTTAAGTCTCTCTTCTCAGTTTTATATCCACTTATCTCTTTTATCTGTTCCTTCTCTGTTGTTGTTTTCTGAGAATTTTTTTGTTGTAGAATTAACTTGGAAATAGATTGATTTATATTTTCAAAGTTATTTTGGATTTCTTCGTGGTTTAAAATCATTGTTGTTTGAATTAATTGCAGTATACTATATACTGTATCTCCTCCTGAGGAGTATTTATGTTTTCTTGATATGTTCTTTCTACATGTCTCTGATCCATGATGGCCAAGAATTTGAGTTTTTCTCTTTTCTTTTCTCTGCAAATAGCTTTAGAGTCCCGGTTAGATAGATACTTGTAATCCAAAGAGTTCAAAAAAGATTTTTTTTCCTGAAGTTTATAATTCTCTCTTTGTCTACAGCCCACATTATTGTCTTTTTTGTCACAGCTGTTCTTTGTTATTAAGGCTTTGAAGGTCACAAACACAGATTAGCTTTTCCCAGTTTTGCCAAGTCCTGTAATGAAAGTCATAACTGTCATAGTCTTCATCCACCACTAGGTGTCAGCATCTATTTGTTTTTCAGTTTCCAAAATGAACAATTGTCTTTAGAATGAGAGTCTTAACCATTCAACAATTTTAGATTTATCGAAATTTAAGTTTTAAATTTCAGGTTTTATATTTATTTCACTTCCATATATTTTGATCGTCCATAAAAAGTTTAATTTGCCGCTTCCGTAGGTATAAGGGTGGGGCGGAAATCCCCCTCCTTCCCTTTCGGAGGTATTTTGCTTCTTAGGGATCTTTTCCAGGAAATTAAATATAGAATAGAAAAAAGAAGATCAAATTCCTCACTCAGTTTCAAACATGCTGTTCACTGTTGTGCTGATTAGTACTTTTGGAATTCGGTTGCAAGTAACTTGGGCTGGTCGATGAAGTATGGCCAGCTTTTCTCCTGTCGAGTTAGAAGGCTTTCCCCAAGTCGAATGGAATGACCACCACCGTTCCAGAATTGCCGGGGCACCCTTCTTTCTTCGCTGCCTCTCCGGGGCGACTTAGACCCATTTAGGGTCCCCTGGCAGGGCGAAATTAGCCACGGGGGTGCGGAAAACCGCAAGCTCACGACTGGTCGCTACCATGCAAAACTGGAAGTCCAGGTTATTTGTACTTTCTGTAACTCATTGCAAATTTTAAATTTAAGATAATGAGTGGCATTTAATGTTTCCATTGTCATGGCCCTTCATTATTTGTAGATTTTTGAGAAGAATTTATTTATCCTTTATAAGAGAAGATTGATTTATTTAGTAGCTGTTTAAAAACACTACCAAATAGAAATGCAAAAAAAATAAAAATAAATAGAAAAACAAAAAGAAGATAAAAGATTCTCCAGCTTTAATAAATTGAACATTTCAAGGTAGTATTAAATCAATCCTAAATATTAATGAGATTTTTAAACTATTATTAATATCAAATCAAAGTTCAAAAATTAACTCTAGTGGCCAGTAAATTATGAATAAGTCATAATAAACTATAAGCATAATTTTTTATCATAATCTTTTATTATTTAGAAGTTGAATTAAATTGTATTACAGGTTCTTAAAATATGACATGATTTTTGACAATGATGGTTACTTAGTTTGCTATCCATTTAAAATGAAAATCCTGTGTGATTTCCAATAAAAGCCATAAAGTGTTATGGAAGCTGTATAGAGTTAACTTGGTAGTTTGTATAAGAATATTAAAATCAGTAAAGTTTAAGGAAGATTTTTTTTAAATAGTTAAGTTTATAGTATATTTTTAAATAAGCAGTGTTAATTAATAAATATTAATTTTAAAACATAATAAACTGTATAGTTACTTAAACAACTTTCCAGAATCATGTGTGAAACTGATAGAATTATTACATAAATTTTCTGATGGTTGAAAAGTTACCTGCCCACAAGCAATCTTTTTTCTATGTTAAGTATCTTGAAGATAGTAGCCTCATCCCCTACTCAAGGGTAGGCAACCTTGGCTCTTTTATGACTCGTGGACTTCAACTTCCAGAATTCCTGAGCCAGCATGGTTGAAGTTGAAGTCCACGGGTCATAAAAGAACCACGGTTGCCTACCCCTGCCCTAGCTGAATGGTTCACCTGGCTACTTTGGAGCGCTGCTCCCCAAGTCTTCTTGCAGACTGCCGCTGTGTGGAGGATCTTGTGGGGTGATTCTGGGACTCTTCCTACCCCAGGAAAATCATACGAACTCAGTTTCCTTGTTTGTAAATTTAAAAAGTGTCAGTCCAGAAAAAACTCCCTTTCCCAATGCTTTCCCCTGGCTGGTCAGTCAGTCATCTTCATACATTTGCTGCTGTGTGTTGGGAGGTTAGACAAGGCGATCTCTAAGGTTCCTTCCAATCCAATAAGTTTGTGAAACCATTCTGAAGTACAATAGAAATATATGTATGCATATAAATTGTGTGAGTGTGCATGTGCTGAAACACACTTCAAATGCTACAATTAACTTCTACAATAGAGTTCATGTCTAAATAATGAATGTAAAATGATGACGTAAACAGTAAGTATTCTTAAGGTTTTTTGACCTTCCCAAAACAAGGCTTACGAAGCAATAACTTTCATTTAAAAAAGATAATGGAAACTCAGTTGTTATGTAATATATATGTAAGGTTAGGTGCATGATACATATAATGACTGTTTCTGTTCCAAGCTTTTTATATGTAAAAAGTCACTTAAGGTAAAAGAAAGGCTTAAAAAGCAAGTAAGTTCAAAATCTAGGCATTTGATTTGTTCATCGCTCTCACTAGCATGTCAAGATGTATTTGAACATTTCACAGAATAAAATAATCTAAGTTTTTAATTTTCAAAGTATTTTTATTTGTTAAAAAATTATGTTGTGTTGCAGGTGTCTTCTTGTAAGACTGGATACTTGATATCACATTCATACAAAATAGCAGCAATTTAAAGTTGTCTAGTTTGACTTACAAACATTCATTTAACAACTGTTTGAAGTTAGAACAGCACTGGAAAAAGAGATTTAAAACCAGTACACATACTTACAACCTTGCAGCATCCCCCCGGTCATATGTTCAAAATTCAGGTATTTGGCAGGTATTAATGATGGTTGCAGTGTCTCAGGGTCATATGATCACCATTTGTGATCTTCCCAATCAGTTTACCACAAGCAAAGTTAATGGGGAATCAGATTTGCTTAACAACCATTATTAACTGCAGTGATTCATTTAACAACTATGGCAAAAAAGGTTGTAAAATTGGATGTGACTCACTTAACAATTGCCTTGCTTAACAACAGAAATTCTGGTCTCAATTGTGGTTGTAAGTTGAGGACTTCTTGTAAATTATTTTCATAGTACTTAGGGATAAAAATAGTGTATTGAGCTAAGCACGTGTGGTTACTTATCATGCAAATGTCCTTTCAAGTTCAAGAAATGCAACATAAGCATTTGCAGCCTTAGATTATTTAATCAAGAAACTTAAGGAATTTTGTCTGTGTGTGTGTGTGTGTGTGTGTGTGAGAGAGAGAGAGAGAGAGAGAGAGAGAGAGAGAGAGAGAGAGAGAGAGAGATCCAAAAGATCAATTATTTTATACTGAGTATTACCTAGCAGATCTTTCATTCCAGATCATACCTCACTCCAGTTCGGGATGAAGAATCAGAATCCCAAAGAAAAGCTAGATCAAGACAAGCGAGGCAATCCAGAAGATCCACACAGGTACATCAATCTTTGGTATCTTATAACCATCTCACAAAATGGTGGTATTGGGTGCTTTGTATTTTTAGATTCTGCCAGAATATACGGTATATAAAGAAGTGATAACATTTTATAGTGATCTGGGAATGTGCTGTTTGTCGAGTCCTTGGTGCTCTGTGGGCTAGTTGTTTGCCCACAGACATTTCATTATCAGAATAGATATGTTCATTGCACTGCATAGCACTGAAGATATTATCTAGACCAGAGGTCCCCAACCTTTTGGACACCAGGGACCGGTTCCATGGAGAGAGGTTTTTCCACAGACTGGAGGGTGCGTGGTTTTGTGTGTTGCTTGCATCTCGCGGATGGGGCTTTGCTTGTTTGTGCAGACCGATTGCTTGGCATGTCATGGCCTGGTACTGCACGGACGGGGGTTGGGGATCCCTGATCTAGACTGATCACAAAAAGTCTGCAAGCAAACAAACAAGCTCAGAAAGCATCAAGGACTCCACAGTTCAAGTCTGAGCTACATTTATTCTCCCCTAGTGTATTGGTCTTACCATATTAATCACATTTTTATTTTGACAAAATTTTATCATCTTTTTTCTAAACTTTGCCTTAGTTTCAGTAGCCATGTTCAAGGAATAGTTGCTGAGATTTTACCCAATTACAGAAAAGGATGCCTTTGTAAAATAAAAGAGTTGAAAGGTGATGAAATTGGCTAGTACTGCTGTGATTTTTTTAAAAAGCCCTCCATAATGAAATTTAGAGCAGGAGGCAATAGCTAGCATAAATAGTTCTAATTGTATTTTAAAACACTTGATTTCGTCTACTAGCTGCGCTCCTTTTTTTCAATATTTTGTATTATGTTCTTTTAGAAAGAATTACCTTTCTTTCCAGCAGCCTGTGGTAAGAGTATCATTGAGAAGAGGTTCTGATTTTCATTTGATTATCCTTTTCTTTAAAACTAGCAGGAAAATGTGCTTATTTTCCATAATTTCATTAAAATTGCTTGCTTTGTATGGTGACTTTTGAAGATTGGCTTCCTGGCTACATAGCCACTGAAAGCCTTAAGACACAGTTAGATGAGGCAGAGGAGGGAAAGTTGCCGTTTGGTCGCCACATTAGAAGTCCTTGACAGAGCATGGGAGCTTTCCTCCTGTTCTACATAAAAATATTAGTTATTTACTACCAAGACCCAAGTCTCCAAGTTTTATGTACCTCCTCTTTCTGCTTACCAGTCAGCAAGCTGGCTATGGAACAGGAAAAAAAGTTACACACGATTTAGTACAGGGACAAGGAATATTTTTCTTTTTAAGGTTTACGTTCATTTCAGATTTATTTATTTGTTTGTTTTTAATCCATTATTTTTTATAAATAATTCAAGGTGACAAACATATTTAATACTCCTTCCTCCTCCTATTTTCCCCACAACAATAACCCTGTGAAGTGAGTTGGGCTGAGAGAAAGTGACTGGCCCAAAGTCACACAACTTGCTTTCATGTCTAAAGCAGGGTTTTAGCCTGATACCATAGCTATTAGACCAAACTGGCTCTCCATTATTCTTAATTAAATATTATTAATTTTATTAAGCCTATTTCTGGGGACAACCTATTTCCTTCTTTCATTGGGATCCCCTCTATAGTTTCTACCCACTTTCTTGTCTTCCCTTTAGTTTTCCCTCATAAAATCAGGTTAGGGACATACATCTCTCTTTTAACTGATTTGTATTTTATGATTGCTGGACTTTATGAGCAGTGTAAATACAATGGATTAAAATATAGATATTTATGAAGTAAAACACAAATCCATGTAAAGCCATGTAAAATCAATGATGATGTTCTAATTAAATAACATCATTCATATTCACATTACAGTGTTTCTTTGAATTTAACTACGTGTACTGTGCACAAAATACAGGATTAATATAAATGATAAAAATTATGAATTATATTAAAATATGGATATCCTGAATCATTAATGGCATTCTAGTATTTTTCACAAATGTGTATCCTTAATTGTTATACAATATAGACGTTTCTAGTATTTATATCACAGAGAGAGAGAGAGAGATCCCTGAAATGTCATTAATTATTAATTAAAAAAAACCTTCATAATAGTGCTTGAAAATCAAAATACATTAAATAGGATAAAGGCAATAAGTTAATATTAGGGATGATTCTTTTCTAGGGTGTCACATTAACTGATCTCCAGGAAGCTGAAAAAACAATTGGTAGAAGTCGTACTACACGAACTAGAGAACAAGAGAATGAAGAAAAAGAAAAAGAAGAAAAAGAAAAACAAGACAAAGAAAAACAGGAAGAAAAGAAAGAATCTGAAACTAAAGATGATGATTACAGGCAAAGATATGCACGAACATTAGAGGAGGTATTTTATATTTTTAAAATGTGTGAATATATATTATGGTGATTCTAAAACAGTATGAGAATGATTTTGATAAATGTGCCTATTCTGATATTTCAAAACTGATGTTGATTTTTTTTTATTGACAAGCCATATCATCGTTATAGAACTACATCTTCAATTGCTTCATCAGCTTCTTCAGTAGCCACTTCTAATTCTTCAAGTCAATTGAATAGACCAAATAGCATTATAGGTATAACTTCTGCTTACTCAAGAAGTGCAGCAAAAGAAAATGAAAGAGGTAATTTTTCTCCAATTTCTTTTTCTTGCTTTCTTTTCATTACCAATAAAACAACTGTCCTTCAAAATATTATCAGAGAGGTTAATGAATAACTAATAAAGCATATAGAAATATTGCAGCGTTACGGGCTAGGATACTTTTTTCATTAAAATGTTTTTAATTGCATTTTCCATCAATTCAAATTTTAATTCAGGCTAGTAGTGGGAACTTTTTTTTAAGCGTTTTAGATTGTGGCTGAAGCTAAGTATTGTGTCACCTTAACATAGATTCATTTTTCAGCCCTGAAGACTGGAACACTGAAATAAACAAGTACCTGGATGTTTATCATTTCTTAAATTAATTCAAGGGTAAAGACACTTATAAAATGCATGATGGCAAAGGAATGTAATGTGCTTTGTGCAGCCATGCTTAATAATTACTGTACAAGTTAATAAAAGCATTTTGAAGCTGAACAATCAGTTTGAAAGTTAAGACTTGATTTTGTTATTATCTTAAATTTATTTTTACCAATGGATCTTTATTATTTTGTGAAAAGTGCATAGAAAAGAAAGCAGATCTAACTAGCTTAAATGCAAATCTTTCTCCAAAGAGTCTGTTGCACGCTAAATCTTGATGCTTCTGGCTAAACAAATACTTATCTAAATAAGTGTGCTCTGGATGCTTTAATGAATTTGTGTTTGTAAATGTCATGATGTATGCAAATATGTTAGACTTTGGTTTCCAAGATAAAAATATACATTATTACACTGAGGTGAAGATAGAATTAGCTAAAATGAAGAATTATAAATAATAAGAATAATGGGGTGTCAAAAACTATATATTTTTTATCAAAAACATTTAAATATTCTTTCATAAAATAGGATGCTGTCTTGGTTTCAGGAACTGCAATAGAAGTTATGTGTTAGAATGCTTTCAGAACGTCTTTAAATCATTAACATTTACTACTTATGCAGAAACAGACAAGAAGGAAGAAGAAAAGGAAGAAGATAAATCTCAAACAAAATCGATAAGAGAAAGACGGCGGCCAAGAGAAAAACGAAGATCAACAGGAGTTTCTTTTTGGACTCAAGATGTGAGATTACATTAAGCTTATCCCTAAATATGCATTTTGAAACAATTTAGAAGACTTGGATGTTTTCTAGTAAATGTTACAACATGAGATATTGTATGTAATGTGCATTATGTTGTGATGTCCATATTCAGAGTAATATGATTATATCCAGTGATCAATTCCACATCTGTAAAGTAGTTTAACTGTTGATCATCCATCTACTTGCAAGCGATAGTTCTTATATGAGCAACCCTTAAATTATACAATTTTTCAAGTAATGTTTAATTTGGTTGGTAGCCATTGCCTTATATAAGTGTGACTTTAAAACATTATTTAACAATATAAAAAAGTTATTCTAAAAGATGTGGTATTAGTTGTAACGTAATGTGATAAGGGTGAATTGTTGCAAATTATAGGACTGAAGCTTAGAGAGGCAGAAGATATATTTATTTTCATTATGAATTATATATAGTATAGTAAATTTATGTGCAATAGAAAATGCTCAGTTGAGTAAGATTTTTTGGACAAAACTGAGCTGCTTAGATATTAATGTATTAACAAACATTCTAAATATGAGTTTGGATCACCTTAATATTTATAAACATTTATCATGAGTTCTATTAAATTCTGCATTCACATGACATAATTTTCTCAGCTGTGTTTTCCTTATGCCTCAAGTATCTGCTCTGGAGAGTCTTCCAACAGTCTGAACCAGATCTGAATGACACATTGAAAACTGCATGGAACATTAAATCTATTCATGCAGAAATGTTCATTCTGCTAACAATCAACGTAGTACATTCCACTGTTAATGAAATCTGAATAATAATTCACTGAATAGTGAATTTGTATATTTTATTAAAAATGAGTTTAAATTATGGATTATATGCCTGATAAAATAAATCATGTCAAATGTTACAATAATGAGGATAAATAATTAAATTAACTAATATAACTTGTAAGAAAGCGAGATGGCAAATATAGAATATTGCTAGTACACCACAATTTGTACATAAAATGTAATGTAGATTTTAAAAAAGGTTGCAGAAAGAAAATGTATTAGAAAAAGTATCAAGCTACAAATATTGGTTAGAACAGGCCACTTCAATATCCTCTACTTTTCAGATAAAATGTGAATTAATCTCAATGAATTTTCTCTGTTAGAGTGATGAAAATGAACAAGAACACTTGTCTGATTCAGAAGAAGGAACAAATAAAAAAGAAGCACAGGTAATTTTTATTCTCCTTACATAAAATATAAAATCCTGTATTTTTCCTAAAGTGTTTATCAAATAAAAATGTGCCTCCTGCATTCATACCAAACCAGTATATGAACAGAATAGACAAAGCTGTATTGTGTTGCGCTGCAAATAAGGTGGTCCTCGATTTACAACAGTTTGCTTAGTGACCGTTAAAAGTTATAAAGACATTGAAAAAGCTGACTTATGACTGTTTTTCACATTTGCAGCCATTGCAGCATCCCCAGAGTCATGTGCTAAAAATTCACACGCTTGGCAATTGACTCATATATATGATATTTATAGTGTCCTGGGGTCATGTGATCACCTTTTGCAACCTTCTGACAAAGTCAATGGGCAATCCAGATTCACTTAATAACCATGTTACTAATTTAAAAACTGCAATGATTTACTTAATAACTGTGGCAAGAAAGGTTTTAAAATAGGGCAAAACTCACTTAGGAAAAGAAATTTTCAGCTCAATTGTGATCTTAAGTTGAGGACTATGTATTCTGTTTCTTTTTTAAATTTCTAACTTTATTATGAATAATTTATTATGAATAATTGGTTAATTGATTAATTTTTAATCTAACTTTATTATGGATAATGAGTTAACTGAAGTCAAATATTTTTATTGTATATCCCATAAATTAGAAAAGATAATTAAACAAATATATAAGACAACCAAATATCTAGCTCTACAGTATTTTGTCAACAGTATAGTCAAATGTGCTTATCTGATTAACTTTCTTGGGATAAGAATTAAATCAGGAAATATCATTTTTTCCCATATAAGGCCCAGGAGAGTTGTTCTTTTAAAAAAAACATACCGTAATTAACATACTTTTATCCTGTTTCTTTTTGTTGGCAATCCTTATCATACCATCTGGACCAGAATTATAGTGTCTTAGAACAGATTGTGAAGAGGTTTTAGGGACGCACAAAATGTTCTGAAATGAATCACTTGAAATTGAAAATATCCCATTTCAGAATTGAGACTCCCCAATTTTGAATGCCAAAGAATAATTTAAGCCTTGGAAGAATATTTTAAGTTTAAAACATAGTATGTTGCACTAAAAATGTAATTATTTCATGTTCAAAGCACTTTTAACATGGAGATGGCTCTGAAATATAGATAGTTCAAATCCAAACATATTGCATATGCCTCTTCCTTCCAATCAATGGATCTATATCATCATAGTAGAAGTGCTTATTTTCATAACTCTCATAGTTATCATGGCATGTGGTATTTCTGGACATATTAGAAAGAAATATATCGAAGCATCAAAAAATCTTAAATAAAATTTAAATTAAAACCACAAACTTATGTAATTAGGTATGATGCCAAAGAATATAAATAAAAAACAAATGTAAATACAGAATTGAGAGCCAGCTTGGTTTAGGTGTGCTGGCCTAGAACCCAGGAGATTAGTGACTTTGGGCCAGATACTCTCTCAGCCCACCTTGAATAAAAGGCAGGAGTTTTGGGTATGGCTCTACTATTGCAGTTAATATTCCTATGTTTTTACTTTTTTTATATTGTCCATCTATCTATCTGTTGTGTGTCTATGTATGTGTGTGTAACATAGAACATTTACTATTTATTCTTTTAATTAATGGATGTACGCTACTCAGAATAATTTGTTGTGATAAGGGAAAATTTATCAATTTTTATTTGATAAATAAAAATATTTGTTGTCTTGAATTGATCAAAATGTGTATTTTTAAAAGGCAGGATAAAAATCTTATAATAATAATACTAATTCAGGAGATGACTATGGCAACTGTGCTTGCTAATTCAGTTGATTTGAGCATTAGAGCCAACACATGGAAGCAAGCCATCATACTCCCCATCTTTAAAAAAAGGAGACACCATAAATGAAAAACCTACCATGGAATTAATCTACCCTCAGTCTTTAGTAAGATATGAGCCCTGATGGCACAGTGGTTAGAATGCAGTACTGCAAGTTACTTCTGCTGACTGACAGCTGCCAGCAGTTTGGCAGTTCGAGTCTCACCAGCTCAGGGTTGACTCAGCCTTCCATCCTTCTGAGGTCAGTAAAATGAGGACCCAGATTGTTGGGGGCAATATTCTATAAACCGCTTAGAGAGGGCTGTGAAGCGGTATATAAGTTTAAGTGCTATTGCTATCCATGCCAGTAATTCATCTTCAAATACAAAAAAACAACAAATGGGCTGGTTTCTATCAAAACCAGGCTTCTTATGACCAGATACTTGATACTACAAATTGTGGAAGAATGATCTGATGTGGCAAATTACTCATCATAGTATTTACTGACTTTATGGCTTCCTTTGACAGTATGTATCAAACCAGTTTTGGAAAGCACTGGCCATAAAAAATCATGTAGCTCAAAACAGAACAGTAACTTACATCAAAGGTGAACTGTCAGAGGTCTTCCCTGTCTGCACTGTGATCTGCCAGGCATGTGTCCTGTCTATTGCTATTCAGTACTACAATATGTACCATCATGGAAAAAAAAAATCAAGTTAACTAGAGTTCTAAATTTTAAGGATACTTTGGGCCTAGGTACTTTAAATAATAACTTTTAGAGCTATATGGCAAACTAACTTTGGATTGGAAAACTCTGAAACAAGTGCTTTGCTTTGAGCCAAGAAGTATTTCATTATATTATTTTTTTAAGTAAAAAGATATCATTGGGCATCGTGGAGACTTTCTTCCACTGCTCAAACAGTCCTTGCTGTTAATCTTATTTAAATGGTATATGTTCAGTAGAATCTATATTTTTTTTCAACTCGTTCTAGAGTTGTGTTCACTCTGTGAATGTTTTCTCATTAAATATAAATGTAATTTACTAAACTTACTTTATTTCTTCATTTTTCAGAGTGATAGTCATTCAAGGTATGTATTTTCATATTTGGATTTCTTTATTATATAATATAAAATTATATATGTATTGTAATGCTATAAAAAGCTTTAAAGAAACAAATATGCTCAATCAAAAAATTATATATAAATCCATCTAATTTAAACATGACAATATTATTATGCTCTAACACAGACATTTGCCTTGTAGGATCATAATCTTCAGGGGATTATAAAATGTTCTATTAGTGGCAAACAAAACATCTAGTGAAATCTGATAACAGTAGTTTATCATACATAAATCATCAAGATTTTAATTATTGTTATTGAATATTGTCAGACCTATAGTTGTCTGATACAACACATGCTTAGTCTGAAAATATATCTTCAATTAGTCTTATTTTCATGTAGGAATGAATTAGATAAATAAGTAGATTGTATTTTGCATTGTAAAATTTCCAAGCAAAGAGAAAGAAGCAATGGGGAAAACTTGTTTTTCAGGGGAGTTGTTGCTGTTGTTGTTGAGGAGGCAGGACAGGTAATTCGACTTGAATACATACTTTAGTCACATTATAGTTATAAACATTATTTTATAGAAACATTTCTAATTTTTCCGCAAATGCAGCTACATGAACTCTCAATTGTTCTTGTTCAGGAGAAAGCAGGCAGGCAGAAATTAATGACAATAGACAAAACTATCAACATTGTAAGGAAACTTATGTGTTTTGCACTTTGTATTTTCATCATTTCATTTTGTCAAAAGAGCAAGGTTGATAGTACATACTTTGTCCCAAAAAATTGTTGTATTTTTTTGTTGTGTTGTTGTGTAAACTTTTTTTTTTAATTGAGGCACAGTATTAGCAATTTCTGTTTTTTCTAGTTTTATTTTTTTCTTATTTCTAAAACAGAAATTTTACCTATACTGAGAAAAGTTTGAAGATTTCACATTATGCCTTGCTTTGATTTAATTTCTTCCATACATTAGCAATTGTATGATTCTCTTACTGTTTTTCTTTGACACTCATATCTTTTGTTCTTGCTTTCAGTAAATATTGGCCATCATTTAGCTCAGAGGTTTTGAAAAAATACATTGTCCAAACCTCAACTTTGTTTTTGTTGAAATTCATTATAAATAGAATGGGTGGAATGAAGTAAAAGAATCTAATTGTAGACTTTCCTGTTTCAGTTGTGTTTTCCAATTGACTATATGTTGCATTTTATTGTATGAGGTGTCACATAAGGGTCGATGCTCTCTCCTTTCATATTTAACATCTATATAAGATTACTGAATGAGCTCATCCATTGTCATGGCTATTTATTTGTACATCTCTGTCTCTCATAAATTAATCAGTGCTGTTGATGCTTATCCCAGAGCCTGGGAGCTGAATGGGGAACAACAGGCTTTAACTAACTCTGGCAAGCCTAAATGGCTCTGGATTTGGGGTCTGCCAGTTCTGGGACTATGCCATCTTTAGTACTACATGGTGTTGCATTACCTCACAATGGACCCTGTGCATAACTTCATAGTCCTTCTAGATTCACAACTCCTGCTCAAAGAGCAGATGGCCATTCTAGATATGAGCCATTGCAAAACATTGTGTTGTGTAGCAGTTGCGCCTGTTCCAGGATCACAAGGTCTACACATGATTATTTATGCCCTGGTCACTTCCCAGGTGGACTACTATAATGGGGCTGTCCTTGAATAGTATCCAGAAACTTCAGCTGCATGGGCAGTTATATCTGCCACTAGAATGGTACTCATTGCACATTTGCTCTGCCTGCTGCATTGGTTGTCAAGTCCAGTTCATGGTGCTGGTTTTAACCTTTAAAGCCCTTCATAGGGTATGAGGAGCCAGGTTATTTGAGGGACCATCTCTTCCCAATTACATCTGCACATTTCATCAGGACCAGCAGAAGTATGTTGTGAATCCTGTATGCTAAGGAGTTACATCTGGCAAAAAAGAGAGGTAGCAATGCATCTGTGCTATTATTCTGATAACAAAAGGCAACACAACTTTGTTATATTACTTGCAATAAAACAAGGTAACTTGTTTCTGGTTATCATTTCAGCATGCTAGGTAGGAATAGGTAGCTAGGTAGCACAAAAAACTGAACACATTGTCTTTTGCATATATAATGTAAACCATGGGTCTTTGTGATGCCTGATTTCAGCTGTGAATACTTCGATATTTTAAAAGACTTTTTTAAACCTCTCCTTTATTAATTTTATAAATAACTCAAGGCAGAGAACATACAGTGAGGAAAAAAAAAAATTTGATCCTCTGCTGACTTTGTACGTTTGCCCACTGACAAGGAAATGATCAGTCTATAATTGTAATGGTAGGTTTATTTTACAGTGAGAGACAGAATAACAAAAAAAATCCAGAAAAACTCATTTCAAAAAAGTTATTAATTGATTTGCATTGTTATGAGTGAAATAACTATTTGACCCCTTCGCAAAACATGACTTAATGCTTGGTAGCAAAACCCTTGTTGGCAATCACAGAGGTCAGATGTTTCTTGTAGTTGGCCACCAGGTTTGCACACATCTCAGGAGGGATTTCGTCCCACTCTTCTTTGCAGATCCTCTCCAAGTCATTAAGGTTTCGAGGCTGACAGTTGGCAGCTTGAACCTTCAGCTCCCTCTACAGATTTTCTAACTGATTAAGGTCTGGAGACTGGCTAGGCCACTCCAGGACCTTAATGTGCTTCTTCTTGAGCCACTCCTTTGTTGCCTTGGCTGTGTATTTTGGGTCATTGTCATGCTGGAATACCCATCCATGACTCATTTTCAATGCCCTTGCTGAGGGAAGGAGGTTCACACCCAAGATTTGACAGTACAGAGCCCCGTCCATCGTCCCTTTGATATGGTGAAGTTGTCCTGTCCTCTTAGCAGAAAAACACCCCCAAAGCATAATGTTTCCAGCTCCATGTTTGACAGTGGGGATGGTGTTCTTGGGGTCATAGGCAGCATTCCTCCTCCTCCTGCAAACACGGTGAGTTGAGTTGATGCCAAAGAGCTCAATTTTGGTCTCATCTGACCACAACACTTTCAGCCAGTTCACCTCTGAATCATTCAGATGTTCATTGGCAAACTTCAGACGGGCCTGTACATGTGCTTTCCTGAGCAGGGGGACCTTGCGGGCACTGCAGGATTTCAGTCCTTCACAGTGTAGCGTGTTACCATTTGTTTTCTTGGTGACTATAGTCCCAGCTGCCTTGAGATCATTTACAAGATCCTCCTGTGTAGTTCTGGGCTGATTACTCACCATTCTCATGATCATTGAAACTCCATGAGGAGAGGTCTTGCATGGAGCCCCAGACTGTTGGGAGATTGACAGTTATTTTGTGTTTCTTCCATTTGCGAATAATTACACCAACTGTTGTCACCTTCTCACCAAGCTGCTTGGTGATGGTCTTATAGCCTATTCCAGCCTTGTGTAGGTCTACAATCTTGTCCTTGACGTCCTTGGACAGCTCTTTGGTGTTGACCATGGTGGAGACTTTGGAATCTGATTGATTGATTGATTCTGTGGACAGGTGTCTTTTATACAGGTAACAAGCTGAGATTAAGAGCACTCCCTTTAAGAGAGTACTGCTAATCTCAGCTCATTACCTGTATAAAAGATACCTGGGAGCCAAAAATCTTGCTGATTGATTGGGGATCAAATACTTATTTCACTTATTAAAATGCATATCAATTTATAACTTTTTTGAAATGCATTTTTCTAGATTTTTGTTGTTGTTATTCTGTCTCTCACTGTTAAAATAAACCTACCATTACAATTATAGACTGATCATTTCTTTGTCAGTAGGAAAACATACAAAATCAGCAGGAGATTAAATATTTTTTTTCCTCACTGTACTTCCTCTTCCTGTTTTCCTCACAACTACAACCTTGTGAGGTAGGTTGGATTAAGAATGACTGATCCAAAGTCACCTAGTCGTCTTTCATGCATAAGTCTGGAATAGAACTCATAGTTTCCTGGTTCTAGCCTGGTGCCTTAACCATTAAACCAAACTGTCTCTCTTTTCATTTTAAAGATATGACACAGGGTCATATGGAGATCGCTGTGATTCAGTACTAGGACGGACCGGTTACAGTTACTTGGAAGATCGTAAATTATACACCAGTAAACTAGAAAAAGAAGATACAGCTGACTTTAAAAAGGTATATGATTGTGATGGAGTAGCATATTATATCTTTTCCATTGTTCTGAAATAATTCTATATAGTTTGATATATACATACATTCTGCCCCCAAATTAATTACTGTATCAAAATAAGGATATTTGGAGGAAGGGCATTTGGTTATTTGGGGGGAGGCATTGACTTGACTTGATACAAGAGAGAACTGCACATACTGTTTATCCATAAAGAGAATTGCAGAAAATATGATATGTTCCCATTTGGGGAACATAATGTCCTTGCCATTATAAATATAAATTATTTCAGGAAAAACTCTAGTCTTCTTTTCAGGCAATATAGAATTAGCTTGCAAGTTTGAAACAATATTTTATTTAAAAAATCTGTACTGTTTAGCTTTATGAACAGATTATAGCTGAAAATGAAAAACTGAAAGCACAGTTGCATGATACAAACATGGAATTAACGGACCTTAAGCTGCAATTGGAGAAGGCAACTCAGGTTTGTACATTTAAACTTTCATTGGTAAATATATTGGGGAGAATCAAGTATAGAGTAGTAAAATGAATAGCATTTTTAATGAAATCTTTTATTGCTTTAAGCTTGCTTAGTGGGGAGGGGCAATTCAGTATATTGCATATAACATATCAGAAAAACTAAAGTGAGCTTTACTCCATTTGCATGGAATTGGAATCCATGGTAACTTTTTAACATTAGGTTTGAAAAAAATTACACAAATTGTCAAATTTTATGATTAGGCAATCTTATAAATGGCTTTATTTTTGTATTTGTGATTTAATCATAAATCTGTTTATAAGTTCAGATGGCATAGGAAGGGATATAAATCTGAAAACATATTGAGTTTATTACGGATTAAAGATTGAGGGAATTAATGAAGGATACATGGTGATGAATGCATGGGACAGACCATTTTTTGGTAATCTTAGTTGGGAAACTGAAGTTGGGGGAAAAATGGAAGACAAGATGAGAAATAATCCTCTCCTTATTTAGTGACTGCAATCTGTTCCTTAAATCAGATATTGGTTGCTAAGTGAATATATGACTCAGAAAGAGACATGCTGCCAAGATCATTGGCTGTTGCCATTTCATTTAGATAAACTTCTCTCATGTAGTGTTCTGTACCTAACCCATTTTTTACCCTTCCCAGGGTGGAGAGATTGTTTAAACAAGCTATTTCTTTCTGAGCAGTTTTTTTCCACAGCACAGTGTTTCCCTAAAAAGTACTAACTGCAAGTTAATAAGTTCAATTATGTGACCTTAATTGATTAGAACCCTCCAGTGCTGCCTGAAACTGACCAGACCTTAGTCAGTTTTGCACTGAAGACTCTTGTCAGGCGTAAAATTTGGTCCTAATATGCACATTGGTCTTTTGGGAAATGATTTCTATTATTATTTTAGTTCCTTGCACAGTCAGCCAAATGTTCAGCCTGGATTTGGCATTTTTATCTATCTATCAAGTCCTTCCTAAGGATTTGAGATAGGTAGATGTGGATATTTGATAGTGTTATAGGTATTGTTGCAGGATGGAAGCTGTTCTGAGTAAAGCTGCCTTTTGCTATTGACTGAGGGTGAATTTGTCAATGTGTATGGAGTTCTCCAGTTGTTTTGGGATTGCACCCAAGGCACCTATTACTGTTGATACAACCTTTGCTTTCTTTTGCCACAGTCATTCTGTTTCTGTTTGTAGATCTTTGTATTTTGTTATCTTCTCCAGTTGTTTCTCTACTAATCTGCTGTCTCCAGATACTATCACGTCCACTATCCAGACTTTTTTTACTGTCTTATCGAACAGTTGTTAAGTCTGGAGTGTTATGTGGCAGGTGCCTATCTGTTTGCATTCTAAAGTCCCAAAGCACTTTAGCATCTTCATTTTCAATTACTTTCTCTATTTTGTGGTCCCATCATTTCTTGTTTGCAGGCAAATGGCATCTTTTGCAGATTTTCTAATGCACCATTATTGCTACTTTGTAATACCATTATTTGTAGTCGGTCTGTGCAGTCTTGTACGGCAACTAACCAGGTGGTCCACTGTTTCTTCAGCTTATTATTATAATTACTATCATACTTCAAACAGTCACTAAATGAGTACCTCTAAACAAAGAGTGGCTGTACATCAGCTCAGAAAGAGAAAAGTATAACTTCTATATGTAAAAGCCTATGTGGCTTAATTTCCAGGTATTTCTAGAACTGTCTCCTCTAAGTTGAGCTTGTCTACCTTGTTTCTTCAGTATCTTCCTTTAAGTAGTCCATGAGGGAGGGTTTTTGAGTGGCATTACCCTCTTTCTATATGTGAGAATGAAAAAAAAATGTTTTATATATTTTATATGTTGTACTGGTACATTAAAATAGTCATTTGTAATTCTCAAAGCAAATGTAGAGTTTATCTTTGTGGATTCCAAGTGGCATGATGTTAAAATATAAGAACTGTGCATATAACTCTTATCCCAGAGTGTAAAACATATAGGAGTGAATAGTACTCAATACTCACCTACATAAGAATGTTTCTACATTCAGAAATAAGCATACATTGGCCCTTGGAAGGAGAGGTAGAAGTTCATTGTTCCTAGTGCATTGAACCTCTCCTTGTATTTTTAGCAGAAGCAGTTATGCTTGTTCCGAAGCAGCAGTTAATGCTGGTCTATGGTCAGTTAGTGATACCGTATTCCAAAGAACAAGTTCAGAGGATTATAAAGGATTAGTGTCAGAGTTTTGTCATTGCTACTTGCACTGACTGCTAATTTAGGTGAAGAGGATCTAAACATGAATATATCTTCATTAGGAGGTTTAAATCTCTCTGTAAAGGTACTTCCTGGCATTTTAGGTACAATTCCAGAATTTTGATTTGATTGGTTACATAGAGCACATGATATGCTACAGGTAATCCCGAATTACGAATGTTCACTTAACGCTTGTTCGAAGTTACGCAGTCAGCGCCTACTGCGGTTTACAAGCAAGTCCCAAAATTACCAATATCACAGCAGTTGTTCGCCCGTACCAATGACTGCAGAGGCTCTGCAACATTCACCCTATTCCCCTCCCCATTCCCCACAACTGCTTCCCCCTCCCTTCCTGCCTGGCGGGACTCACCTTGCAAAAATCTGTCTCCTCTCTACTGTGATTTCTTTCTCTTTGAGGGAGAGGAGAGTTGGCTTGGAAATGCTTTTCGCGCCGACAATGGAAGTTCCTGGGTGCCGTAATATCGGGCGAGTTCAAACACCCATTCTCTGCAAAAGAGATCATGGCCCCTGGAAGCTTCCATTCTCCGGGGGGAGGGGAAGTGTTTGCTTTGTTTGCATGCCTATGGGAAAAAGCGTGGAATCTGAGTTGGCCAGGTGCAGGAACCAATGGCATCCATAGCCTGGGTGCACTGCTCGCTCGCGTGCATCAGCCTTAGTTTGAGGACAGGAAGGAAGCTTTCATCTGAACGCTGGGGAGGGGGAATCATAGCTGCTCAGATAGCTGCCACCGCCAGGGGATTGGCAGTGGAAGAAAGTGGAGGTGCAGGAGCAGGATTGCTCTCAAACAATAAGACCCGGGTGCACTGCTCGCTCCGGTGCGCCGGCCTTAGTGAGAGCAACCCTGCTGATGTGCCACCGCTTTCTTCCACTGAGAGCCTAGAAAGCTAAGCCGCTGCCACTCAAACACTTTTTATCTGAACGGAGATCAGACAGAGATTTGAAGCTCCGTGTGTGACTGCCAATGGAGTGCTTCAGAAACGGAGAGGAACAGTCCATTTCTGAAGCACCCCATTGGCACACATATGGACCTTCCAATCTCTGTCAGGTCTCTGTTCAGATTTGTTTCAGCACCTATGGGGCAATTCAAAATGCAGGAATTTGCTGCGTTTTGAAGTTCCGTGTGACTGCCAATGGGGCACTTCAGAAACGACAGTTTGCTTAACAATGTAACAATGGCACTGAAAAAAGTGACTTATGACCATTTTTTATACTTATGACTGTTGCAGTCATGTGATTTACGTTTGGATAGCAACTGATTCATATTTATGATGGTCACAATGTTTCAGGGTCATGTGATCTCCTTTTGCAACCTTCTGAAAGCAAAGTCAATATGGGAAACCCGATTCACTTAACAACCGTGTTACTAATTTAACAACTGCAGTGATTCACTTAACAAATGTGGCAAGAAAAGTCATAAAATGGGACAAAACTCATTTAACAAATTTCTCACTTAGCAGTATACATTTTGGGCTCAATTGTGGTCATATGTTGAGGACTATCTATACACCCATGTACCACACTTTTAATGGGAAATTTGTGCTTATTTCTCTGACAATCTTTGCACTGTTCTATCCCCTTCTCTCCTTCTGCTTGTCTCAAAGAAATCTCTCCTCTTCTCTGTCTCTCTTTCTCTGTCCCCTTCTCTTTCCCTGTCGTCTTTTTTTTTCTCTCCTGCCAAAACCTCCTCCTTTTATATCCTCTCCTTTCTTCCCCCCTCCTTCTTTTGTCTTCGGTGCAGCTGCAGCTGACTCCTCCTCCCCAAGGCTGCGCTCTGCTCCCGGAAGTGCCAATCAGCTGGAGCCCCGCACCAATCCTGGGCACTCAGCAGAGCCTCAGCAACACCACAGCTCCAGCTGACTCTCCCATAGACCTGTTTGGCGCTGCCACCGCTTTAGCTCATCCCTCCGCTACACTTTTACACTTTTACAGTGCTTTTCAACCCGTCGTACATGTACCACCTGCCAGGTGCCGAAGTACCACCAGTGGTACGCGTATCACAGGTTGAAAAGCACTGGTCTAGTCCAACCTCTTCAATGTGTAGGAAAACCAAATAAACTATTCATGAGAGGTGACTGTCCAGCCTCTTAAAAACCTTCAAAGATGGAGAACCCACAAGCTTCATAAATCAAATATTTCACTCTTATAACTTACTGTCAAGAAGTTTTCCTTATATTTAAACAAAATCTAGATAGCTTCAATTTATACCTTTTACTGCTGGCCATAGAAAATATCTCTTTCAATTTCCATTGTGACCCTAGAAAATATGTCTTGATCATTTTGTTGAGTTATTGTATCCAAACTTTTGACCCCTACAACTTAAGTTTTTCATCTTTTACTTTTCCTGAAAAAAGCATAATGTTGTCTATTAAGGTTACATTCCTGGACTTTTATAATCAGTAGGAAATGTCCACCTGAAATTCTGGTGACCATGCTACCCGACACAAAAAAATGTTAAAAATAATAGTAATGCAACAACCTATTTAATTTTCCCTGATTTCAACTTCAGTTTGTTGTGAAAGCATGCAATCGCTTATGTATTTCAGAGACAGGAAAGATTTGCTGATAGATCTCTGCTAGAAATGGAAAAAAGGGTAAGTTTTTTTAAATTTTCATTTTAATCTTTATTGTTGCTATAGTGTAAATGTTATAAAATAGTAAAATGGAAAAGAATAAGGATGTACAAAATACTCCATTCATGAACTGTACACTGAATGATATGTGACCGAACTGAAACATGCAGTTTTAGGTGTTTTGGTCCATGCATGGAATAGAACATGGCTGTTCCAGGCAGAGGCAGTTCATGGAAGGAGAGGAAAAACCCAAGCAGCCATGCTGAGATGGTTGAGGGGGAAAAAAAGATAAATTACATGCTGCTCACATTTTCTCTTTTCTTCCCATTCCCTCATCTTCTCAGTGCATTTCCTTTTTCCTTCCCTTTTTCTGTCAATACCATTGATACCCCAGTGTAAAATATTCTCCTAGTGTCTTCCTGCCCCTTCCTTTCCTCCCTTCGGCTAACACTGATGTTCCAGTGCTCTTTTCATCATCCCCAGCCTGCTGGGAATCCCTATCCATTGCACTACATTTCTAGAAGCTCTTCCATGACAGTACTTCTCAACCTAGAATGTTCCTGAGTATCAATTCCCAGATTCATATGGCCTCAACTATGGACATGTGCTGTGCAGGCCAAGTCTGTTGACTTTTCTTATTAGCTGAAATGAATATAGAGTGCATTCTGTGATACGGGACAATACCATCATAAACTTATGGAGGAGGGAAGGAAGGAAAGATGATAAGAGAAGCTAGTAAAGTATGCTACATTGGAACATCAATAGCCACATCTGAGAGGAAGAGAGGGCTGCAGTTAGTGGGCCTGTGTATATGCTACTTTGGCAGCTTCTGAAGGGAGAGAGGAGATGATGCACCAGGATTCACCCTATCCAGATTTCATTTTGTCTGAAACCTCAAATAATCCCAAAAGTGCTTTTTCAAGAGGCAGTTGGACTTTCTTGGTTTGATTAAAAAAAAAAAATATTTCGCTTCTCATACAAGATGTTTCTTCAGCTCTGAACTGAAGAAGCTTCTTGAATAAGAAGTGAAACATTTTCAAAGAAAAACAAGAAAGTCCAATTGGCTGTTGAAAAAGCCCCTTTGGGACAACTATAACTTGGATGACTGAGAATCTTCATAGACAACCCCAAATAATTCACTTAGAAGAACTTCTAGAACCTGGTGATTTGTTCCAAGTTCAAAACAGGTTTTTTTTTCTGTTTTGCTCATGCGCCTAGAGTAGGGGTCCCCAACCCCAGTCCATGGACCGGTACCAGTCCGTAGCATGCCAGAAACCAGTAAGGCCCCATCTGCGGGATGCAAGCAGCATCCGAACCTATACCCCCTCCTGTCCGTGGAAAAACCTCTCTCCATGGAACCGGTCCCTGGTGCCCAAAAGGTTGGGGACCTCTGCCCTAGAGAATAGTTTGAATTTATTCAGATATTATAACTAGATAATTTTGTGATGATATTTGTTACAAATTTATTATATTTCAGAATTTGAAAATTTTAGCATTTTAGAAAGTTTATGAACAGTATTTCCTTCCCAATGAAATATTTTCTTACCATAATTATAGAATGCTAAAATACTCTGAACATAGCTTAATGTAGGATTTCCATTTATAGAAGTTGTCAAATGCATTTGTGTTCTGCAGACTGTATAAGCAATTGCTTATACTTGGATAAAATTCAATATGAATAGTGATTTTGACCAAGCCACATCCAATAGGTCTCATGAAGCAATATCAGCAGATATAGAAACACAGCTATGGTCATATAGGAATGTCACAGTCACCAGCATGATTTTTAAGAGCACAGTGGGTAGACCAGGAATTTTAAAACTTTTTCAGGCTATAGCACCTGTTGTTATAAAACTGAACCCATGATCAAGTGGCAAAAGTCCAGTGGTAAGAAACTGGCAATAGAGCAGAGCATATGCTTATGGTGGTTTATTTATACAAATGCATATATTTCATATTTTTCCCTTAGTCTTGTGTGAAACCCGAGTTCTCTTTGAACCCAGTTTGAAAATCCTAGATTAGATAATAGCAGTATAGAACCTTTTAAAAAATTAATTCCAGTACAGTAACAGTACAGTACAGGATAGCTTTTTAGCCTAGAAAAATGTTCTCTATTTATACTTCTAAGATATGTATTAATATAGAATACAAAATATGTATTAATATAGAAACTAGCAGACAGAAATTTTATTTCAGTCATTGACCAATAAAACTACATTCAATAAAACAAACAACAAGAAACTATCACTAACAACAAGAACTATTAGCAACCATTTGTGGGCAAAGCTTATATCCTATGCAGCAAAATTTTGCTACTTTTAGAGAAATAAATTTATCTTGATTTTTTAACTTGTGTAAATGAAAGTTATCAGGGGGTTCCAGAAATTTAAATAATTTCAATACAAAAGAACATGAGCTGTAATTTCTATGGTACCCATATCACAGGAGCAGTATTGGTTTTCATATGGGGTTTGCCTATATTTCCCTTCCAAGATAGCTGTGGGTATTATAAGCCTTATAAACATGTAGCCTTTTTTCAGGCTTATGCCAATTAACTCACAGTTACTTATCACTGCTACACATGAACATATTTTTAGTAACTCATTTTTTTACCAGCTGGTTACATAACCAGTTGGTTTAGAAACCAGTAATAGTGGATCATTACTGTATTACATTATTTAAGTTATTTTCTTAATAACTTGGGGAAAATATGCCAGCAAATTCACTTAACTATGATTAAACTAAATTCAAATGATTTGTATCTGAAAGGTGACCGACAAGAGTCAGTATCTACGGGGCGGTATGATCTAACCAGAGTTTTACACACTCAGCTGATGCTGCTTGTTTTGCATAACACTGTAGAATGCAGATATTAATGTACACTTTGCAATAACCTGCTTTTCTCTTTCACATTTGAAAATATATGAATGATAAACACAGGATTTAGCATATGCTTTTAACTGGGCTCACAGCACTGGCAGACTGTCAGCCAAAATTTGAGCTATAAAAGATTTTGCTTTTTGGTATGAATTGTAGTAAAAAAAAGTCAAGGATTCATGTGCAATATTACTGGTACACTAAAGTGTGTAAACTAACACTTGCTTGTCTGTGATAGCTTATGCTTTGTGCTTCCTTTAACTGAGTTCTTACCTCTATTGTATTTAAACTATAAAATAAAATCTAGTTAAAGGAGTAATAGTAAATGTACAATATAAAATTATTGCCTGTATACTTTTATACAAATAATTTATTGAATAGAATTCATAGAATATGATCAACATTTTGTTACATTTTCTTAATTTTAAAGTCGAATTAGTTTTTTACACATCACTGGCCTTGCAGATTTCCCCTCACCATGCTTCTGGTTAAATGTGAATGTCTTGGACTGTAGTACAATAAAATGAGAGCCATCTATCAAATTATACATTCATTATTTCAAATGCTTCACTATAGGAACGAAGAGCTCTAGAAAGGCGAATATCTGAAATGGAAGAAGAACTCAAGGTAAATGTACATTCTTAAATTCCTCCAATTTTAATATTTTTTTAAAATTTAGTCATATACCATGATTATAATTAATATTATGATCCAATATAATTCTGCTTTTGTAAAAGAAAGTATCATATTGTACCACACAAACAATTAATGGCAATACGACTTACAATCCTTAAAAGTATTCCTATAGTTTAGTTTAAAATAATACTGATGATTTGTTTTATTCCTATTGTGAAAAATTCAGACCATTAAGTTTAGAGTATTGCCTTGAGACTGTACTGAAATTGCCCATATAAGCCAAAGCTACTAAAAAGGGAGGTTTAGTTGACAGTTATCAGTCATTTTTATTTCTTATTTTGTGGGGAAAAAGATATTCCCAAGAAAACTCAAAAGAATATTCTGCATTGCTCTTTCTTTTACTCTTGCCCCCATGGAGACAAACAAGCCATATTTCAGTTATTTTTATACTTATTATTAAACTTATACCCCATTTTTCTACTCATGTGAGCGCTCATTTAGAACAATAGAACAGGATGTAAAATATAACACATTGAAATTATAATAACATTATTATCAATTACAGTTAAAAACCTGACCAAAGAGATGATAAGCTTCCTTATCATTTCCCTAAATACTAGGAAAGTGAATACAAAGTCATCTCCCATGGGAGAGCATTTCATTCTCCCTCATCCAGCTACTACTGCAGTTAGGCAGTGCTTAAGATGCTGAATGTTTCCTCGAAGTTAGAGGGAAGAAGCAGTAAAGCTGGATGTCCTCAGTGACTTTCCCCAGTTCTTTCACTTTCCCTGTGGTTTCACGTAAATGTTAAAGAGCATTAACAAGATAGAAATCTGTGAGACACCATAGATCAGTGATCACTATCAAGCAATAGTCTTCCAGCTCTGTTTTCTGGACACACTCTGATGAGGACAAGAACCATTATAAAGTAGTGCTCTTAATACCCAGTCCTACTAAGCAGCAAGAAGAGTACCATGTCAATGGTATTGAAAGCTGCTGAGAATTTGTATTCCATCCCCACCTTCCATCTAGTTGCCAGCAGTCATCTGCCAAGGTGGTCATAGCATTCTCAGTGCCATATCCCAGATAAAAGTTCTGATTAAAATAAAGATTGAGCTTTAATGTTAGAGATTCTGTGAGCCATACAAAGCTTTTTCAGTACAGATTTTGTAATTGGCTTCTTAAACAGATAGAATACATTCAGCACTTTCGTTCAACGACAGGGCAATCAATTTTCGCAATTTAATCAGAAGGAGCAAGAATCAAACAATCACATGGTGGACTCTAATTTTTTCATTCACCCTGTTCACATTCTCCAAGGCCACAAATTGAAAAGAATTTATACGAAAAGTTGGCAAAGTCACACAGTTGGCAAAGTTACCTTCCTATAATTGCCCCAACATTAAATTCAAAATTATAGATAGCAATGCTCATTTAAAAGAACAAGGTATGAATACATATCTTTCAATACTCAGCAGTAATTGTATTGCCTTTCAGTTTATCTCAAACAACCTTAAATCATGAATCTCTCTCTCTCTCTCTCTCTCTCACACACACACACACACACACAATCTGAATTACTGTCTTGTGCATTTGAATGCTCTCTTGAGACATAATCTTCCAAATGAGCTTTCAGTATAGATGAAAGTCAGTATTAATAAAAAAAAATCAGAAAATAATTTAAAAAGTATTAAATGAATTTAAGAATAAACAAAATTCCATATTTACGCAGCAAATCCAGCATACAGTATATAAAGGAGGTTGGCTACTTAATTCCCTCCTTGCTCCCTTCCTTGCTCTACTCATGAGAATACAGAGCCTTCTTAGCCCTGCCTTCTCAACAAAAGAGCAAACTAACTCTCCCAATGGACAATTTATCTTTTCACAGTACACCCAACAATCTATTTGTTAAGAAACTAATGGCCTTTTAAGTTCTAAATAGATTATTTAGCACAGGGGTCCCCAACCCCCAGTCCTTGAAGTGACACCTGTCCGTGACATGCCAGCAACCGGACCACGCAAACAAGCAAAACCCCATCAACGGTATGCAGGCAGCATGCAACACCACGCCCCCTCTGGTCTGTGGAAAAACCTTTCTCCATGGAACCAGTCCCTGGAGCCCATAATCAGACCAACAATCAAGAAGTGAACAATACCCCAGGCAAGGAACTGTCAAACAAGCTAATAGTAAACAGCCCAACCAAAGAAGACCAACACTGGCACGGCAAGCCAATAGAACAGGACTTTTCAACCTTTTCACAGATTGTACCACTTTTAGGACATGACAGTATTTGAGTACCACCAGTGGTTAGTAAGGTGTCAAAAACTTGACTAAAAAAAGTGGGGGGATTTTGGGTTTTATTGATTAGATTCATATGTTGTTATAGAAATAGCAAGTTTATAATATTATGGAAAGGTAAAAAGTTGAGGTTTAATGTTAATGCTTCCTTCTACTGCAACAGAGGAAGTCTGTTCTTTTTCCCCCTTTTTCCTCCCCACTGTGTCCTATTATTTGCTTTTGTATTTTTGTATTTTATTCTATAATCTAATAAAATATTACAAACTGTAGAAAAAAAGAAAAAAGTACCAGTTTTAATTTCTTCAGTGGCTGAATCACTTTTCCTTTGCACTGACAAATGTATGATGAATTTATCCATGTTTATTAATAGGCACCACTACCAGCTAGTTCAGGGCTCTTCAAATTTGGCACTTTTAAGACTTGTGGACTTCAACTCCCAGAATTCCTCTGCCCTCATGGCTGGTTGAGGAATTCTGGGAGTTGAAAGTGGCTAAGTTTGTAGACTCCTGAGCTAGCTGGTTTGCTCTTCCACAATGTAGTAAGAATGCACCCCCCAATCCCTTCCCTGTACCCTTAAAGACACAGGAATCAAGTGCAAAGCAAGAAAATAAAGAAACACAAACTCCATTTTTTCCCCTCTTTAAGCTGCCTCAGGTGTGTCACGTGTCACAATGTTGCAATTCTAGACTGAAAGGCTCTGGCAATTGAGAAAAGCTTTAGCTTTAAATTAAGCCTGTTTACCTTCAAAGAAAATTTTCTAAAAGCCACAGACAGATTCAATTAAAGGGGATAAAACTAATTACATTTGTTTAAAGGGATTAAACCTTTCCTGTTGTTTTTTTCCCCTTCCCCCACCCAAACCATGTTCTTTTATAGCCTCTCCTTTCCTCCCCCCCTTTTTTCTTCAGTTCACCTCCAGCTCTGAGCTGCTTCTGGAAGCGCCAATCAGCTGGAGCCCTGCCGGCTCCTGGGGCTTCTGCCGAGCCCAGACAGTCCTGCAGCTGCAGCTGCCTCTCCCTCAGGCTTGGCTCGCTTCAGCTCATTCCCCTCCCCTGCTACACTTGGCTAGCAATCGCGTACCACCTGTCATGTGGCAAAGTACCACAAGTGGTACGTGTACCACCGGTTGAAAAGCCCTGCACTAGAATATAAACTTAGAGCAAACCCCACATTTTATTAGCACTGATGATGTTACCTAGTTTGGCTCATGAAACGGCTGTAAGAAAACAGCCAAGCTCAGAGATCACTAAGGACTCCTCTGAACTTTTATTAGATGATAATATTATGTAATATTTATCTACTGTATAAAGATACTTGTTTCTGAAAAAAATGCTTTTTTGAAAAAAAATATCACAATTCTATTTTTTTCTTTTATAGATGCTACCAGATCTGAAGGCTGATAACCAGAGGCTAAAGGATGAAAATGGGGCCTTGATCAGAGTGATCAGCAAGCTTTCCAAATAGAATTTGTTTACTCACATCAGCAAATCATGGGATTGCACATAATTAGTAACTCCAGTGGACCATAGCATGGAAGTCACTGGATGCCTGGGAAGATTTCTTGGAAACTGTTGTTTTCAGATATTCTGCCAAAAGCCCTTTTACTTGGGTGTGTGTTTTTTAAACCAGGATCATATTTTCATGTGTTAAAGCAGCTGCTGAGAAGACAAAATGACTGAAAAATCTTGTTTACAGCTACTGCATATAAGGAAAGTGTTCAAGGCCTGACAAGCCTCAGATATTTAACCAGTAAGCCTTAGTTGTACATAAACGTGTTTTAAAAAAAGCTTTCTGCTATCACAGTTACTTTATTTTATTGTGTTGTCACAGTTTCTGGTCCCCCCCCCCCTTATTTTGATTTTTTTTTAAAAAAATATCTAAGTTTGGATTTGTGTGTTCCCTTCTAATTATTCATGTACCAGATTTTTTCTTTGTACAGTATTCTCACAGCTTTATATCTATAGAGACACACATCCTTTATAAATTCTACAGTGTAACTAACTAAGCCTATATTTTTCATTCATCCACCCCAAAACCAGAGCAGTTTCAAGGAACCTTTGCTTTCACAGTTGTGCAATATGCATTTATTTCTATGAAAGATGCTTTAAAAAGTCAACTGAAAATAGATTATTTGAATTTTTTTGTCTCTAGCCTCAATTGGTCACTTTTTTAAAAGAAAAGAAAATAGACTGTAGTGCAAAATATTAGATTCTATAACCTTCACATTAATTTTAGTAGGTACTGAGTGATGCTGTATATATTAATGTATATTGTTTGGATTTTTCAGACCCACATGATATGCTTGAATAAAGAAATCCTTATTTGGAAATACAGCAAATTAAACTGCCCAAAATTAAGTGAATATATATTCATTTTTATATTTTAAAGTTTAGAAAATGAGTTATGGAGCCACTCTTCAAAAATATGTCTAATTATAAAAGCCTTTTCCTTCCCAATTTTCATTTGAATAGTGTTCACTTTAATAAACATAAATAGAACATATTCATTACATTTCACATATCTGTATTTGAGTACATCCAAACCTGCTGTGCTAATCAAAGTAAACTTCAAAGGCATTTGAAAGCCCAGCCTTTCATTTAGACATGCACTGCTGTTGGCATGTGAAGAGGACCTCGGTTTATACCATCATCAAGTTAGATCATTTTATACATTTCAGTGGCCTTCTAAAAAGTTCTCCAATGAAGATAGCTTTTGTTAGAAAAGAAACAGCTTTTATATGTTCTCTAAACCTATTACATACAGTTGTCTTATTGGCCTACAGACTAATGCCTAAAAATCACGGAACAGTTCTACCGCTAAAATAAATTGTACATTGTAAAGCTTGTAGTAGCTATTGTATTATTGATTGTATACTATATTAAATGTGAATTTGTACCCCTTCATTTTAAAAGGTCATTGTGTTCTACTGCCTACTTCTTGGGGAACTACTTCATTTTGGGGTGGAAAGAAGAAGGATCAGGTTGACCCAAATCCCCTTTGTGGGCTGGGCAGAGGTGAGAATGGGAAGATTTTTTTGAAGATGTTGTAACATTTTGCTCTTACTACCAAGCTCAGGATTCTTGATTCTAAGGTACAGTACGAGGATAGTTCTGGGGTATCTTGTTACAGGTTAGGTCTTTATAACTTTAAAGATGGACATGGTCTTTCATGCTCTTAAGCTAATACAAACCAAGCAGAGAATTGTTCTACCTGAGCAACTGCAACACACTGAGAATTGTTGTGGATTGGTTGAGCATACTGTGGATTATATTTGGTAATGTTTTGGATGCCTGTGAATGATTAAATATGTCTCTAATATTTTAGTGTTTTTATATATAGGTTATTTATTCTTTCAAAACTGGCTACTGTGTTGCATTGATTTTATTGGTAGTATTGAGCAGACCTTGCATCTGCATGAAACTATTTGCAAAACCCACTATTTTGCAAAAAAAATGTATTTTGACATATACAAATAAAATGAATAAAATAATTTCAAATGTGTGAATTTGAATGAAAATACATTTGAAAGATGTGAGTTTAATATTTACTATTATAATACTAGTTATTGGCAGCCATTTGTTTCATTGTTTCACTTTTCTGAGATTGTATTTGCACATCCATAAACATGTAGATAGAGCCATTTTTATGCAATCTGTTACAACTGGAGAAAGGGTTTACAGTACAGAATTTTATATAATTCTGCCTGCAGGCAGAAACTACATGCAAGCAAATTTCTATGTTTTCTAATGGTAAAAATGTGCAGTCCTACTTGGTTAAGTAACTGAATTCTTCTGTAGTTGAATATATTAGAGGTTTTATATAGATTATTTTAATCTACACTAAGCACCTTTTCTATTCCAACAGATCAATAAAGGCTGAATCTATAATTGCATTGGATTTCTCAGTGAAAATAATATTTTGTTATCTCTACTTCTTAAATAAGAAAAAGCATAATTTATGTAGCATTTTTCCCCAAACCATAATGAATAGTAAATTTTTCATGCAATTAATATTAAAAAGCTTGTATGGCATAGAAAAAAAAATGCTTGTGCATTGAATTGAATTTCATAATCATTTCAATGGGGAAAACGATTTTCTTAATATATCAGCTAAAAGGAGAGGAGTATTGCAAAGAAGCAGTAGTGGATAAGAAATCCTGTGCTGTGGGAATGTTATGCTGGGCAATACGCCTGCTGATAAATGCCATACTCAGAACACAAGGTCAGAAACTTTGCTTTGGAGGAAAATTGCCCTTATGTAGGGGGAAAAGACATAGTTGTGTGTACTGTATAATTTAAAACCAGTCTAGCAGCACATGTGTGGTATGCAGTAAACAAATTGTTCTTCTAAAAACACTAAAGCTACAGAGGGCCTTTTTTAATTAAGTAAAAGTCGAAGCATTCTTGTTTCGAAAAAGCAAAACAAGAAAAATCTTTTTTTAGCAACAAAAAGTTAAATCAGCAATAATAAGCAAACTTCTTTTTTAGTATTACTACTAAATTGTTTTTCTGTGAATTGTGTGCATTAGTATATTATCAAACTTGGAGAGAATAGAAAAGCATCTAAGTAAGTTAATACCAGGAAAATGTAAGCATGCCTGCTGTTCAGATATAGTTTCAGAGATTTAAGTTCATCATGATTTGGAACCCTGTTTGATGTATCCATGCTTCTGCTGTAAGTATGTGAAGAACTGTCTAGCTAGCACTAAATTTTTGAATTGTTGTTAGTTGCGAAGTCGTGTCCAACCCATCGCGACCCAATGGACAACGTTCCTCCAGGCCTTCCTGTCCTCTACCATCTTCTGGAGTCCATTTAAGCTCACGCCTACTGCTTCAGTGACTCCATCCAGCCACGTCATTCTCTGTCGTCCCCTTCTTCTATTGTCCTCAGTCTTTCCCAGCATTAGGCTCTTCTCCAGTGAGTCTTTCCTTCCCATTAGGTGGCCAAAGTACTTGAGTTTCAACTTCAGGAGCTGGCCTTCTAAAGAGCAGTCAGGGTTGATCTCCTCTAGGACTGACCGGTTTGATC